AGCGGGCATTGCATGACACGGGTGCACTTACCTACATTCAGGCAATACACACATACACATGAAATAAAAATAATAAATAAAATATTTTTAAATGTATATTCTAAGGGGAAGCCTAGTACCCAAACAAAAATCAAACAATACTTCAGAGAACGACATTATATCCAACATTTAGAAGCTGCTTTGGCTAACGAGCATTGACTCCTCACTTGTGTCCACAAGGTAACTAACATGAGGACAAAAGCCTGGTGGCGCTGCCTTCATTTAAGTCACCTGCTTACCTCTGCACATACGCATGTAATAGGGCACCTTCTTGACCATAGCTATGCCATGTTAAAGTTTAGGCTGACTCTAGTCTCTGAGATTATCAGACAGTTGTCCCAGGATATGGGAACACAGGCAAGCTGGACCCTGGTTGTCTTGGGAAGAGCGCAGAGCATTCTAGAGAGCTCCTTCTAACTGCTGATTTATGGCTTCTGTAGGTTTTGCTTAGCTTGCTTCTGCAAAATAGTAATTGTTGCTTAATAGAATAGAAATTATTTAGGGGACTCTCCAGCTGTATGCTTGGGAACCTAAACTTTTCACTCCTGGTTATAGTTTCTCTATACAAGAAGCATCCCACAACATTTAGAGGTTCCTAAGACACAATTGCTATACAACAAAACCCCCCTAGAGGGAACTTTGTGACTGGTAAAGACAATATAGAATAACAGTAAGGTTGATAATGTCAGTTTATGAAAGAGGAGGAAGCTAGTTCCATGCAGGTGGGGGGTGGATGGAAAAATGTATTTTCTTATGTATTTCCTTGATAATGTTTGCTCAAGCTTAATGCTCAATGATTGTCTTCTGTATTCTGCTTGCTTGCCTAGCAACATGATCAATACAAAAGGAGCCAGAGTGCTTAGGCTCGGTGCTGCACTCGGACCCTCTAGGGAAGAATGTAGCCTGGCCATACTAAATCTTTCTTCTTTCTCCAGACTCACCTGTTTGTCTGTCTATTTGGAGCATTCGTGGATCCCAGACTATAACACACATTAAGAAGTGTCAAGAAGTGTCTAGGAACTGGGGTACCTAATATATACCATCCTTCCTCCAGGCTGAAGGCCTGTTCACTTTTTATAACATCCTTTTCCAGACTCCTAAAAAGCACCTGAAGGTCACCAGTCTTTGTGTTAAACCCGAAGTCATCTTGCATTGCAGGGACAGCAGAACTTTGCAGGTCAACCCCTGCCCTCTCTGGATGAAGACAATATTCCTCAGGACCAGGGTGCACCTTGGAATAGGAATAATGACCTCCTGAGAACCAGTGTGTCCCATCAAGCATTAAGGACTTCTGACTACCTTGCAGGACCCAAACTGAGATAATTCAAGGAGAACTTGACTAGGACTACTCAATTATGCATTTCTGGGCCAGTGAAATGGGTGTGCAGGTTAAGGCCCTTGCCACCAAGTCTGAAGACCAGAGTTGATTGATCCCTAGGACTCACATGGTATGAGAGAACCAACTCCTGCACGTTGTTCCCTGACCCCCACATGCACACCGTGGCACACACAAAAAAATAAATGTATAAAATTACACATTCCTCTTGCAGGATCCCCAATCCTTCCTGTATTTAAATATGAAGCCCATAGCAGTGTCCTGAAGACAGGCCTGAGGTCACTGGACTGCTTTATCTATTCCTTTCCCCAATGTAGCCACATTCAAAACATCTCTGCTTTTCACCATCACTGTCTCTTTAGTTGGCACAAGCCTAGACTGTAGGGGCTGTTGCAGCCAGAGCTTTTGTGCTAAAACTCTGATTAAAATGAGAACTAGGAGGAAAAAGGAACAGAGGAAGAGAGCAGAAGGGAAGGGGAGGAACTCTTTGGGAGTGCTGGTCAGAAAAGATCTTAGGGAATCAACTTTTTCTCCCTGTGATAAAGGACCTTGCATAAACTACACCCCTAGCCAGGAGTCATGGGTAGGGGAAGGGAAAGGAGGAGAGTGAGAGAGACAGACAAGGATGGGCAGGACAGCAGAGGACAGGAGAAAACAGGGAGACTGACTGGCTCTCACTGTGTTACCCAGGCTGGCCTTTATTATTTTTATTTTATGTGTATGTGTACTGCCTGCATGTATGTGAGTGCACCCGTGTCGTGCAATGCCACGGAGGTCAGAAGAGGGCGTCGGATTCCCCTGGAACTAGAATTAAGGACAGTTCGCAGCCGCCATGTGGGTGCTGGAAATCGAACCCGGGTCCTCTGTAAGAGCAGTCAGTGCTCTTAACCACTGGGCCCTCTCTCCAGCCCCTGGCCTTTTTAATTTAAATTTTTTCAGTGTGTGTGGGAGAGAGAATATGTGAATTTGTGAAGTGCAGAAGAGCCATAAGCCTCATTAGGGAAAGCCATAAATCCCTTAAAGTATCTCACTGGCCCTAAATTAGCAGCCTGGCCTTGCTCAAGCCTGGGCTTTCTCAAGCCTTATCAACTGGTCACTCCCTGGACTGAGAGAGGCTGTTTGTGGAGCCCACCTATCTCCTTCAGTGCTATAGATAACTCACCCACTGTGTGAGAAAATAACCTGAAGAGACCCTCAAGGACACCAGACCCCGGCACGGAGTTAACTCTTGCAGCTGTGCACAGCAGAGTTCCTATATAAGACCAGACTTCTCCCCCTTCAGATCGCAGATAATTATTCCTCAGGAAGAGCTATCAGCCCTTTGCTGGGCTTCCTGAATCAAAGGAACTCATTCCTTGCCTGTTGCAAGTCTGGCTCTGACTCTTATTTCTAAACTTTAAACTCCTTCATTTTTCTGCCCTCCTAAATCTAACAGAGGGGGCATGCACATCACAGTGTGGAGGTCTGTGGCAGTCAGCGGACAACCTTCAGGAGTCAGTTTTCTCCTTCCACCTCGGGATCAGGGGAATGAACTCAGGCCTCTGTCCACTGAGTCTTCTCTTCTCCAGTTTCTCAAGTGGCAGGCTGGCATTATGATCTTCCAGCCTCAGTCTCAGATTACAGGACTCCCAGGATGTGCTGCCACATCTGGCTAGGAGCCAACTCTCGAAGACACCAAGATGACAGAACCAAGTCAGTCATGAGTAAATCTTTGGGACAGAAAGAACAGCAAATTGGGGCTGGAGAGTTGGTTCAGTGGTTAAAAGCACCGGCTGTCTTATGGACAGCTCAGTTCCCAGCACTAACACTGCAGCTCACAACCATCTGTAACTCAAGTCCCAGGGGATAAGATGCCCTCTTCTGGCTTCTGTGGGCATCAGGTACATGCATGGTGCCAAGACATACATGCAGGCAAAGCATCCAAATACATAAAAATAAAAATGAATGAATCTTAAAAGGAAGAACAGCAAGTTTCAGAGCCTGTGGACCAGGGAGTGAGAACAGACCTTGGTGACCAGAGCAAAAGAAGCCAGGACTACCAAGATGCAAAGTCAAAAGGTAGACAGGAACCAGATAGGCCACAGCAAGATACTCCTATTTCATGCTAAGCTTCACAAAGAAGCTGCTAGGAGAATGGGAAGAGATTGTTTTGACCATGCTGAAGAAGCCACCAGGACTAAGAATGGATTCAGCCATGGGGGGAAATGGCACTAGAGAGCACTCCAGATGAGCTTCAGACTAGTAGTGAATGTGGCTGGAAAATGGAAGGAACACTCAAGGACCACAAGGTTTGGAACCCAAGAGAATCCGCCAGGTGCCAGGAACAAAAATTAGAAAAACAACCAGATAGGTCATTTAAGGAAACGGGTACTGCTACAACAATTCTCATCTTACAGATGAATAAGCATATTTCCAGAGGTTGAATAGGCTGTCCAAGTTCTCCCAACTGGTACCCACAGCAGTGAGCAGAAAATGGAATGCATCTTCACAATAATTTATTTTACCCCTTATTATCATCTCTGTTTACAGAGAAGGAACCAGGCCTGCAGAACCTAGACACTCCTAAGACATATCTTAGAGATGTATTTTCTAAAACATTTTTAAAATTTTTATTTTTTATGTGTATGAGTGTGTTGCCTGCACGTATGGAAGTGTACCCATGTTGTGTAATGGTCATGGATGCACAGAAGGTGGTGTCTGGATCCCCTGGAACTGGAGTTACGGGCGGTTGTTAGCAGCCATGTAAGTGCTAGGAACCTAACCCGGATCCTCTGTTAAGAGCAGCCAGTGCTCTTAACCGCTGAGCTGATGGGACACTGACAAGGAAACCTAGACAGCTGGGCAGAAGTGGCCTGGGGTTTAAATAAAAGCCCATCCTTGGGTTCTCTTTCCTAATCTGCCAGCACTCCAGGACTCAGCAGGAAAGAAGTGGCCACTGAAAGTTCCTAAGTCGTCCCTCTGAATAGTAATTGCCAATTAAAACGCAGGCTCCTGGACGCCAGCTTGCATAAACCCGACCTGAATGTCAACCTACGAAGTGAGACTCGAAATCTGCACTTATTGTCTTTTTTGAGACAGGGTCTCCCTGTAGTCCCAGCTGACCTGAACTCACTATGTAGACCAGGCTGGCCTTGAATTCACAGAGATCCACCTGTCTCTGCCTCCCGAGTGCTGGGACTAAAGGCGTGCACTACCACGCCCGGCTTTGATTTTTAAGAAAACGGTTAGCTAACGAAGCTTGGGATCTGTGGATCGCTCTCACATCCACCCCGGAACTAGTAGCCTGGACCACGCAAGTCTCGCGACACCCTCCGAACCTCCATTGGCAACACTGAAAACCAGGGTAAGTAATCCCTGGCGCGGAGGCACTCAGCCAACCTGCGGAAGAAGTACGTGCGCGCGCGAGACGCGGGGCATTGTGGGAGGCAGAGGGGCCGCGGCGGCCGCGAAGCATTGTGGGACACAGCAGGGCGGGCAGCTGCCCGGGTCCCAGCTTCCCTTTCCCGGAGTGCCGCCTCGTTTCAGTTCTGAACTGCGCCGAGCGACCCCAGCTGCTGCTGACGTAATCACTCCCTCTCTTGTCTGGCGCCTCAGAGGCTGAGAACGCTCCGCCAAAAGCGGTGGGGAACTTCCGGTTATGCGTTCGGTTTACGGCCTGACGTTTTTCCGCTGACTAAGGAGGAAGCGGTGGGGGCCGTTTACGACCCCGCCTGTTGTGTTTACGGCGCCGGCCTTTGCGCGCGCATGTTCCCTCCTTTCCAGGTTTTTCCGAGTGCTCCACAGTCTCCTGCCGGCCATCTGTCGCCATCCCGGCCCGCGGAGGCCGTTACAGGTGAGCCGCTTGTTTAGTAGAGCTCCGTGGAGCTCCGGAGCTAGCCTACGCTAAGCCTGGCTGTGGGGGCCTCCCGGAAGAGCCCTCCAGTCGTCGCTGCCCCTCGCTGGGCGGGGCAGGAATCTGCCTTGGGTGGCCCAAGGTCCGGCACAGTGTGGGATGCAGGACACTCGTCATGGCCTTGAGGGGGGAAGCGACCCTCACCTGGGTTTCCTAAGGTGGTCCGGTCTCCATAGTTTCCGAGCAGGATGTAGGCGCTACCAAGCCGGGCAGTGTTCGACCCCTGCTCGGAGGAGCTGACAGAGCAGGGTTCCTTCTCTGCTCTTAGGTGGACGACCAAGAGGAGTAGAGTCCATCTCTGGTCTCAAACCGAGATCCGGGATTCATGGCTGGATTTGCAGTGGCCACAGTGATCCACACTGTGATGTGGCCAATACAGCTGTCACATCGTTCCAGTTTTCTCCTACTGGTTCCTTTCTGGTTAAATGTGCTGAAGCCAGAGGGCTTAACCACCCTGCCCTGTTCATCCAGGCAGATGGTGCATGTCAAGCCTTGAACCATCTTGAACTTGTGACTGCTAAGTTTTGAGACAACCTTGTTGTAAAGTAAGGTAGGGTATAAAACCCGTGATTGACAGGCTTCCTCTTAACTAGTGTGGCTGAAAAAAGGTCAGGTATAGGTAGACAGCCTTGGAATCAAATGTGTTTTTAAGTAATGGGCAGATCAACTGCTTAAGTTGGCTGAGCGTCACATTTTTATCTCAAATGTATAGGGAACGGTGGTGTCAAAAGTGGCCAGCAGAGTGCCTGGTACAAGTGGGGGCTCTTGTTTCACATGAATTGCTTGAAGACCACCACACCACCCTGTGCCATTTCTTCTCTTCCTACAGTTTAGGTTAAGTTCGTGTTGGAAGGATGAAGCTCTCAGGCTTATTCTTTAAGTCCTTGTGTGTCACCTAATGTCATCCTCAGCCTCCCTATGGCCAAGCAGTGACAGGTTACTACCTGTGCTCTTACGTTCTCCAGCCTTCAGGAAGTGGTTGTGTGATGACTTCCTCTGGGTATTGTCAGAGGGTTCTTGTGGATAGTGAGTCCAGCAAACCCTGGTATTGTAGAGCCTTTGGTTTTTACTCTTTATTTCATCATGCCTTTATTTTCTTACCTGGAAAATGGGGGCAGTAGTAGACTCTACTCAACAAGATTATAAAAGTTTTATGAATTAATGGTGCTGTAAGCCCTGAAAAAAATGTCCTGAAAAAAATGTCCTGGTGCTTAGTGTTTATGAACATTTGACATTCAGCCACTTTTGCAGCTAAGCCATCTCACCTGCCCTTATTTGACGGCTTTTGGTCTAAAGTTTATGGTGACCTTGGTCATCTGGCAAGGCTTTTGTCTGGCTCCTTGTTTTGTACACAGGATTTATACTGATAGAAAACTGAAAGAGAAAAGGAAAATCAAATTTTAGGATATACCTAAGGTTCTTTTTTTTTTTTTTTTTTTTTTTTTTTTTAATCCTTTTATCATGTGTGCAAGAGAGCTGTGAGTGCCCGTACGTACGTGTATGCCATGGCACACATGGAGGTTAGTGGACAACTTTCTGGAGACAGTTCTCTCCTTCCACCATAGATTCCTGGGGTCCTGGGGTTGCACTCAGATTGCCAGGCTTGCACAGCAAGCTCCTTTACCTAGTGAGCCATCTTCACAGCCCAAATATTGTGTGGCATGGTAACAGTTAAGACTTTGAAAATGATCTTATGGTACAAATTGTTCTTGATTTTACAGACTGGGGCTTAGGGAAGTTAAGTATTAAATGCTTTGGTGAAGATGTTTCCAAGGGAGCTTATTACATTCTAAATGGTAATATTTTTTATGAAATCTGTGACAGCCATTATCTTGTTACACTGAGAAAGAAAATCCACCAAGTAAAATTACACCCATCAAATGTAAGGTGCAGCCTTGTTTCAAAGATGTTGGCCGGAAAAAGAGGTGTCCTGGAGGCAACAAAACACAGGAGAATGTCTGCCTGTTGGCAGTTTTCTGAGCTTTAAATGTTGATAATTAATTGTTTACAAGAATACATTGTTGGTGGAGCTCCAGAGTGCCACTTCCTATAGTTGATGTCTGTTCACTCTGGAGGTTGTTTTGTCCTTTAGAGGCCTTTCTTGTACAGCTACTTAACATTGCTTGCTTTATATTGTTCTGCTGGGATCAAAGGCGTGAGCTACCACGGCCAGCTGACATTGCTTGTTTTTTAAGGTTTTAGAAAGATGGCAAAATTCATGACACCTGTGATCCAGGACAACCCCTCAGGCTGGGGTCCCTGTGCCATTCCTGAGCAGTTTCGGGATATGCCCTACCAGCCATTCAGCAAAGGAGATCGACTAGGAAAGGTACTGAATCTCTTCCACTGGGGCTGCTACTCCACAGATTGTGGTTTCCATTTTCTCTCAAAGAGCACTGACCTCCACAGCAGTCTGAAGGCTGGGCACTTGTGGGTGCCTCAGAGCCAGTGCTGATCCCTTTCCTTACAATCTCTCAAGATGGGGTTTCTGGGTCAGCAGAGGCTTGCCTAGCTGACCTGTATGTTCTGTCTTTTCTTCATTGCACCTAACAGGTTGCAGACTGGACAGGTGCCACATACCAAGACAAGAGGTACACAAGTAAGTACTCTTCAGTGAGCTGCCCAAACCAAGGGCCTAGGGAATTGTTTTTCTAGTAACTTCCACCTAAAAGCTTTCTGGACAGGGAGAGAAATGCTAACAGGAATGATAGTTTTTAGGGGAGTATTCTGGGCTGTAAACACTAACTGGTTTTCGAAACAGCCCCAGAAGTTAGACCATTCATTGCAGGAGTAATGGCTGGAGACCACTCTAAAAATCTGTCAAGCATGCTGCCATTTGCATTCTATTGTTTGAAACTCCCTGAGGCCACCAATCAATGGACTCTAGGCTTTGGGCTCCAGTTTTAAGATCTGGTAAAGGAAAATTTTTTCCTCAGTGCCAGATAGTTGAAACAGCTGCCTGGGGCACTAAGACAGCAGAGAGGCCGCTGAGGTCAGCAAGAAAGTGCATGCTGGTCATGGTCATGTCTCCTTGGCTCTGTGTGGTGGGAATGGTGCTGCATGTGGCCATGCTTACCTCTCTGTTGGCTGAAATCATAGCTTAGAGTCTTTAAACAACCAGACAGAAGTGAAATGGTTAGCTAGAGTTCCTCAGGCTCTCTTGGAAAGTTCTTTAGACCAACATGAATGTGAATACGAATCACCTGAGATTGTGTCGGGTCCCATTTATTAGGTCTGGGGTGGGGCAGTGAGTCTGCACGCCTAACAAGCTCCCAACCAGTGCTGCAGGTCCTAAGACCATACTTCAAAGAACAAGCCTTAAAACTGTCACACACTGTGCATTGCCTATAGGTAGCATTTACTACATGCTGTCTCCTTTGCCTGCAGATAAGTACTCCTCTCAGTTCGGGGGTGGAAGTCAGTATGCCTATTTCCACGAAGAAGATGAAACTAGCTTCCAGCTGGTGGACACTGCACGCACACAAAAGACCGCCTACCAGCGGAACCGGATGAGGTTCGCACAGGTAGGCCAGGAGCCAGCAGCTTTTCCTCCTCAGCTTTTATTGTGGGGAGCTCCTGCTGCTCAGCAGCTGCCTTAAGGATGTGGGTGAGACAGGAAAGCATCTCACAATCCTCTAGTGAATCCCAGATGGCTGTTCCATGACCAGTTATATCAAAGTCGTCTTGTACCAGGTCCAGGGATGCTTTAAGAAGTTTAGATTTCTGTTCTGCAGTAATTTGTATATTACACACCTGTGCTAAGAACAAATGCTTGTGCTGAGAACTCATTGCCTCCCTTAATTGCCATATGCAGATTTTATTAAGTAGATGGTCCAGTCAGGTTGCATCCTACTCCATAAAGAAGCAAATTCAGCAGCTCCAGTAAGACCAGTAAACCCACATCAGTGGAAATGAGAGTCCAAGCTAGCCCCAGTACTTCTCCACTTGAATCCAAAGACTATAGATGTCATAGAGTAAAAGCACAGGGATGTAAAACTAGGGGGTTACACCCTGAACTTGGTCTCATGGTCTCACATAAGCCTTACATGTCATAAGCCTTGTCTCCAAGGGGTTAATGTGGGTATCTTCCTTATCCCCAGCGGAACCTCCGCAGGGACAAAGACCGACGGAACATGCTACAGTTCAACCTGCAGACCCTACCCAAGAGTGCCAAGCAGAAAGAGAGGTAAGAGCCCCTTCCTGCCAGGGCAAGGCATCTTTCCCAAACAGGTTATACTCGGAGATCACAGGGCCACAGCAGGAGGGAGGCTGTATTCCCTGCCATTACAAAAGAAACCAAAGCCAGTCACCGTTTGATCAAGACCAGTTCATGGCAGCCAGCATGGACAGGAGGGTGACTGTTATCAGCACACAGGCTGTAAGGCAACAAACAAATAGTGGCTCTGTGACCTCTCTAGCTTCAGTCCTGGCTGCCAGCTATAGGCAACTCCATTTGTACTGTATCTCCTGGGGCCCAGAGCTGAGTACAGCAGTCACCGTGGCCAGGACTCAGGAACGGTCACTGTGGGCTCAGTGGTACACCCAATCAGTACAGGGACCAGTGTGCTTCTGCTCTGCTAGCATCCCCAGTGTGCCCCCACTTGGTCCCTTCATCTCTAAACCCATTTTCTGTTGTGAACGAATTCAGGGAGGACATTCAGTTCAGCTAGAGAGAAGGGTAGCTCCTGCCCTTTGAAGAAGCCACTGAAAGTCCAGGATTCTGTCTTTTCAGAGAACGAATTCGCCTGCAGAAAAAATTCCAGAAGCAATTTGGAGTGAGGCAGAAATGGGACCAAAAGTCACAGGTAATAGATCCATACTGGATTCCACTATGCATTAGGTGGGGTTTTTTTTTCTTTGTGTATCTTTAAGATAGAATTTGTATAATTAGCAATTGTGTGGTCTCCAGTGTATTCAGAGTTACTACAATTTCAGACCATTTACATCACTCTTTATGAGAGAAGAACTTAGTCACCTCCTACTAAGTTCTCCCCAGTCCTGGAAAAACAATATTCTTTTCTGTCCCTGGATTTTCTGATGTTGGCATTTCACATAAATAAAATCATCTTATGCATCCTTTATTTAGCATAACGTGTTCAAGGTCCATCTGTGTTGTAGTCTGTATTGGATCCCCTGGAAATAGCCATTTTCTCTTTCTTTTCTTTCTATTCTTATGTATATGAGTGTTTGCCTGCGTATTTATAAGTGCACCCATCCATGCAATGCCTTGAAGGCCAGAAGAGGGCATCAGATCCACTGGAACTGGAATTAGGACAGTTGCTAGCCACTGTGTTAGTACTAGGAACAAAAGCTGGGTCCTCTGCAAGAAAAGCCAGGGCTCTTGATTACTGGGCCATCTCTCCAGCCCTTGTGTATTGGTGTAGTCTTTCCTTCGTATCTGCTGAGGATTGGTTCCAGGATGCCTTAAAGAGGCCAAAATTTGTGGGTGTCAACTTTCCTTACATAAAATAGTGTGGCATTTGCATGGAACTTTGCACATCCTGCATGTACTTCAGTAACCTCTAGATTATATACAGGTTGAGAGTGTCACACATCCAAAATGGAATCTGAAGGTTTTCAGATTTGGGAATTTTTTTCCCTCAGGCGTTGGAACAGACTACTGCGTAAGCAACCCTGATCCAGATATCTATAATCAGATTCAGGCTCTCGAATCAGGGCCAGTGAGATGGCTTGGCAGGAAATGCACTTGCCACACAAGCTTGATGACCTGAGTTTGATCCCTGCAACTCACATAAAAGTGGAAGGGGAAAACTGACTCCCCAAAGTTATCCTCTGGGCACCCACACACAAATAATAAGTTTTGTTTGTTTTTGTTTGTTTTGTTTGTTTGTTTGGTCTTTTTAAGACAGGGTCTCCCTGTAGCATCAGCTGGCCTTTGGAAACTCACTATGTAGACCAGGCTGGCATTGAACTCACAGAGATCTGCTTGCCTCTGCCTCCTGAGTACTGGGACTAAAGGCATGCACCACGATGCCTGGCTTAAATAATAAGATTCTTAAATGAAAACAAAGGCTCTAGAATGTGAGCTACGTGTCAGTAGTCAGTTTTCAGTTTAGAGCATTTCAGAGTTTTAGAATCTATAATGCCTGACAGATTGTAAATAGTATGTAAATAGATCTTGCTTTATTTAAGGAATAACAAAAAGTCTCTGTGCCCATTACAGATGCACCTTCACAGACATATACGCCTGTGTGGGTGGGTGTGGTTTTCTTGAGACAGTGTAGCCCAGAGTGGGCGTGAACTCACTATGTTGCTAAAATTGGCCTTAAACTCATGGTCACCCTGTGTCTGCCTCCTAAGGGTTAAGACTGCAGGTATGTGCTTTGATGGCTCGCTTCTTTTTGTTTGGTGGTGGGATTTTCACAGTGTTTCCCAAGGGGCTTTTGAACACCTAGGCTCAAGTGATTCTCCTGCCTCAGCCACCCAGTCAGTAATGAGACCATCTGCACAACAAGTACCCTGAACATTTTCAATCCATAGCTGGTTGAATCTGAATGCAGAACCCATGGGCGTGAAACCTGTAGATTTGGAGAGCTGATGTGTCAAAAATACAGTTGATACCCTGAGAATTACAGAGGAGCTAGTTGCGTCTCGTCTGCTGGGTGGCATCATTACCGAGTGAGATGCCATGTTGAGTTCCTTCTCTAAGCACCTAGGAGTCACAGAGTCTGTTTTATAAAACAGCCACACTGGTAGAATAAAAGCCCTTCGTGCATTAGCCTATCTCTTGCTGAGGTCTGCATGGGATATAAATTGTTTGCCTCCGTGGTTTTCGTGGCAGAAACCCCGAGACTCTTCCGTTGAAGTTCGCAGTGACTGGGAGGTAAAGGAAGAAATGGACTTTCCTCAGCTGATGAAGATGCGCTACTTGGAAGTGTCTGAGCCTCAGGACATGTGAGTGGCATCCTTGCTCCTGTCAGCCACACCACATTGAGCGTGTGGGTCAGCTAGAGAGGGGCAGTGTTTCCTTAAGCCCCAGCAATTCCAAAGTGGAGATGAAGCTACTCACTCAAAACACTGCAGGAAAGTCCCAATTGTCTTTCTGATCTGACATCTGCGCAACACAATAGTTCGCAAAGCTCTCTGGGCAGACAGAGGTGTGGCAGTTCTTTAGGAGACTGCTTGTCCTGGTGTTTCACGGAGTCCCGAACCCCAAAGTTAACTCAGTGGGGAGCCAGAACATCAGATGAGAGGTCCACCCACCTGGTGCCTCAGTGATGGCAACTGACAAGTTGGCCTGAGTCTCCTGGGGAATTAGGCTGGGTAGAGTGTGTTCCCCATGTTCTGCAGAGGCACATTGGGAACTAGAACAGAACTGAGCCAACACTGAAAATTGGTCTCCCATTCAGAGACATGTGCTCCATTGCTTGGCTTTGGGGTAAGGCTTCTTTTTGAGACAGTGCCCTCTGGTGTAGCTGAGGCTGATCTCAAACTTCCTGCCTTCTTGCCTCAGCCTCCCTTATGCTGGGATTGCTGGTGTGCTCCATCATACCCGGTGGTAGATAAGACTTCTAATTCCATGGCATAAAAGCGAAACAGGGAGGAACCTTGTGACACTCACCCTTCTTCCTTCAGTGAGTGTTGTGGCGCCCTGGAATACTATGACAAAGCCTTTGACCGCATCACCACCCGAAGCGAGAAGCCACTGCGGAGCATCAAGCGCATCTTCCACACTGTTACCACCACAGATGACCCTGTCATCCGGAAAGTATGCGCCACTGTTCTCCCTTGCCTAGCTGTTAAATGTTGTTGAGGCCTCAGAAAGAACATGGCGTGGGATATGCAGTCGACTCTCCATATCCACAAGCGCTGATTCAAGACCATTCCGTGGATTCTGAACCCCGTGGGTGCTCAAGCACCTTCTATGTAACGTAACTTGGGTTGGAACCCTCGCACATCCTCTATACTTTAGGTCATCCCTAAATTACTTATAATACCTAAGACACTGTCATTGCTACGTAAATAATGGTTACGCCGTTTTGCAAACAGTGACAAGGGAACAGTATACATGTTTGGTATAGGCACAGTCTTTTTGTTCCGAACATTTGGTGGTATCTGCTGATCCTGACCCCCCCATAAACAGAGCTGACTACATATCCATAGCCTGGTCCTTAGATAAGGTTCTTCTGGATCAGACTTAACAACTAGATGGAAGTGGAGGCTTGTTGCTGGGATACACTGAAATGTGTTAAGCAGAGCCAGACTCACCGCACCTCTGCCATGCTGGCTGCCTTTGCTACTCTAGAGCCTTAGCTTTCTCGGCTGCAAAGGTGGAAAAGTGTGCTTAGCAAAAGCAGCACACCATGGGACTGAGGAAGAAAGCACTGTGAAGCCCTTGCCTGCACCGGCGTGTGAAGCATGGCCGGTGCTTCCAAGACCGGGGAGGTCTTGTCAGCTGGTTTGCTGCAGCTTTCAGGTGACCTCTGCATCCTCATTCTCTGTCTCATCCCCCTTGCAGCTTGCAAAAACACAGGGCAACGTGTTTGCCACTGATGCCATCCTGGCTACGCTGATGAGCTGCACCCGTTCCGTGTACTCCTGGGACATTGTTGTCCAGAGAGTTGGATCCAAACTCTTCTTTGACAAGAGGGACAACTCTGACTTTGGTAAGCAGCCTGTATGGGAAGCAGCAGCTCAGAGATAGGCATGGATGTTAGTTAGTTGGGAATAACTCCTCTGTCCTGAGAATGGGTAGCGAGCATATCAATCTTTCCTGGCCTATCTGGAGAAGGACCTGTGCTGCAGTGAGTCCTCAGACTTCAGCTCTGGGTCCTTACGTCACCGCAGTGGCTCTGCATGCTGCTTGCTTGTGTAGCACTTTCTTGTCCTGATTACGCCTTCTCCCACCTCATGCCGTTTTTCTTTTGCTTCTGCGTTCATTATATAAAGAAAAATACATATGCATGTATTTTATACCACACACACACACACACACACACACATACACACAGCATAATGAGTCACTCAAAGAATGACAGCATGAAAACAAAGCAGTCTAATTTTATCATGAGCCTCAGGCCTCTCCTTTCTTAAATGCTGACAGAAATCCAGCCTCTTAAAGATCCAGAGAGATTGAAAGGAACAGATTTCTTACTGTGTGACTGATACTGTTAGGCCATATCTAAGACTACCCAGGAGCACCCACCATCCCCACACATGCTGCACCCTGGGGAGAGACCTGTGCAGTAGGCAGCTGTTCTTTGAAGGAAGGCCTCTGTGGTCTGGGTCCCTACATCTCCCCACCCAAGGTGTTGTGAGCATTGCCAGTGGCTTTGGGCTCTGTGGGTAGGTGACCATGCCTGCACATCCTTTTACAGACCTGCTGACTGTGAGTGAGACAGCCAATGAGCCCCCTCAAGATGAAGGCAATTCCTTCAATTCACCCCGCAACCTGGCCATGGAGGCCACCTATATCAACCACAACTTCTCCCAGCAGTGCTTGAGAATGGTGAGCACAGGAGTGGGTGGGTCGGCAGGCACAGCCCCTCCTACAGCAGAGGGTAGGAGCTGGGATCTTGGGGTCCAATTGCCCGATTGAACCATAGATCCACCACTGACAAGCCTTGTGCTCTCAGATGCATTTCCTCTCTGTAGAATTAATATTTGTTTCACATAAACATACAGTGGAGATTATTCCAGTCATTTAACAAATTTGCCTCTTTCGCCCTGTAGATAGCACATTGAACAGTGTCACCAGGTCTGTTGGGTTAGCAGTCTGCTGTGGTCAAGAAAGAAACAGGGCAGCATGGTGGCTATTGCTTGTTGGGATCCTTTAGGTACCAGCAGACAGGAGGGTGACATGGGTATACACATGTAGCAAGCCCCAAGCCAGTGCTGGGTCTGCTGGCTTGGGTTCAGTACCATCCTCTGAAAGCTTTGTCACTTCTGCAGGGAAAGGAAAGATACAACTTCCCAAACCCAAATCCATTTGTGGAGGACGACATGGACAAGAACGAAATTGCCTCCGTTGCTTACCGTTACCGAAGGTGGAAGCTTGGAGATGACATTGACCTAATCGTCCGTTGTGAGCATGATGGCGTCATGACTGGAGCCAATGGGGAAGTGTCCTTCATCAACATCAAGACACTCAATGAGTGGGACTCCAGGGTGAGAGGTCACTGCATGTGTCTCTGAGGGCTGGCTTCTAGGAACTGGATGCTCCCTTTCAATGCTCACAGAGCGGGGAGGAGGGGGGTCCTTTTCAGGTTTTCCTCTGCTTAGGTCTCTGCCGATGGGGTGGAAGGACCTGAGCGTTCTCTTCTGCACATCCTATCATCCAGTGCTTCTCATTCTGTTTATTAAGGCCGCCATTGATGTCTCTCTACACATCTGATCTCGACCTCTCCTTGTCTTGGCTGGCAGTTTTCCTGGAAGCGCAGCTGCTCCCTGCGACCTCTTTACTCAACCTCTGCCTCACCTCCAGCTTCTGATCCTTTATCGAGTTCTGTGGCTACTGAACTCAAAGACTCTTAAGATCTGGCTTGAGGTTGACTGTTGAGAGGCACCTTGAACAAAACCTTCCTGCAGTCCTCCATCCCTCCAGTGCTCCAGGACAGGCAGGCCGCTGTGCTTTTTCAGCTGCCTGCTCTATGTGCCACATCTGGCTAAAGTGATTAACAGGGCTGCTGCCGCTCTGCAAAACAAAGGAGACTGGGGAGAGCAGGTTTGAGGCCTAGCTAGCCTGTGGTGAATGGTCTCAAGATGCAGCACACAGGGCCATCCTCTTCTGGGGCCGGTGGCCTTCTAGACTCCACTGAGAGTTCCTGTGGCACCCGATGTTGCTATGTCTCCATCCCCTCTTGTCATGTTAGTGTGCTGTCCTGGCATCACATGTCCCTGCCCCCCTCACATGGGGTCTTTCTTGACCCCTGTGGGGTTTTGCTGGGGTCAGTTCCCCATGCAACTGTGTGTCCAAAGCACTTTATACCTTACTTCAGTGTCCTTTTGCTTTGTAACAAATGAACAGATGCATTTGGTGGTTAAAACAGCACCCATTCAGTAACCTGGAGTTTGTAGGGCAAACATCCAGCATGTTGTGGCCTGGTTCTCTGCTCTGAGTCTCACAGTGGAAATCATGGTGTCAGTAGAACTGAGTTCTGTTCTGGAAGTGCTTGAAGAAAGTCTGCTTGAAGCTCATTCTGGTTGTTGGCAGAATTCAGGTCCTTTTGATGGTACAGCTGAGGTCCCAGATCCCTGGCAGCTGGGGTCCTCTCATCTCCTAGGAGCTACTTCTCCCTTGCTACAGTCTCCTCCATCTCCAGGTTGACAACAGCTGAAGTCTTTGTGCTTCAGATCCCTGCCTTCCTATCATCTGAGCCCAGGTGTAGGAGGCAGCTGTGGTTGGCAAGGTCCACCAGAGTGCCTCCCCATCTTAGAGCCAACAGACTGGGGACTTCGGTTACAGCTGTGAAATCCCTTTTGGCCTATTAGGTGCTGTCATTACAGAAGTGACATGTCACTGTAAGTCACCAGTTGTGCCCACAGTGAAGGGAGAGGCCCACTGCAGGTGTGGTGGTCCTTGGGTTGTCTTAGCACACTGCCCCAACCTCAACCAGAGTCCCCAAGTCTCTGACTTGCCTCCACTGTTTTTTTGCTGAAACACTCCCCGAGCCCCAGAGTCCTCTGTCCCCACTATGACCTCACTGGGCCTGAGTCCTCCTGCTCACTGCAACCCAGTGTCCCAATCCTCTCCCGCCCACTTTTGTACTGTTGGGGGACTGCTGACAGGACCCTGTGGTCCTTACACTTGTCATTTGGCATCTGTCTCCTGCTTGACCCCTATCTCAACCTAGTTCTGTTTGTCTCAGCCAGCTGCTTGCTTCTGAATGGTGGCCGAGCTCCTCAGCGTCAAAGCACTCTCCACGTACTACAGTGGGTTTTAAAGTTTGTTTGTTTTGTCTTTTTGAGACTGGGTCTTTCTCTAGTCCCAGCTGGCTTAGCACTGACTATGTAGACCAAGCTGGCCTTCATCTCACAGAGATCTGCCTGCCTCTGCCTCCCAAGTGCTGGGACCAAAGGTGTGTGCCACCACGCCTGGCAAGTTTTAATGTTTAAAGGGAGACAGAATCTGAGAAAACTGTTCTGCATTGTAAGGACCTAACTGCTGAATAAAAGGAATTTTTAGTGTTTCTCTTGCAGTGAACCAAGAAAGTTCGGGTAGCTCCTACCTGGACCAGTCTCCCTCTCAGGTCTGGAAGCCTGTGTGCATGTAAAGCATCAGGCACCAAGCTCCCGCCCTTGGCCCTCCCTGAGGCTGGCCCTTCATTCCCTTTCTCCTTTTTCACTGTGGAACACCATGGGGCCCTTCTTCCCTACATAGCACTCTTGCCTCTGCCGCTCATGTGGCACTGGGTTTAATGTAACTCTCGTCCCCCATCAATCAGCCAGCCTCTTAGTGAGCTGTATGGAGTGGCTCCTGTGTCTTTGTCTCTTGGGTGTGTCAGTCTTACCTCTGACTCTGCCTGCCCTTCCTAGTGAGTCCCTCTCTGCCAGAGCAGCTCCTGGGGCCTCTCTTGGGAGGTGTCACCCTCACACTTGTAACCAGCCACCTTTTCTGCAGCACTGTAATGGTGTTGACTGGCGTCAGAAGCTGGACTCTCAGCGTGGAGCTGTCATTGCCACTGAGCTGAAGAACAACAGCTACAAGTTGGCCCGGTGGACCTGCTGTGCATTGCTGGCTGGATCTGAGTACCTGAAGCTTGGGTGAGGTTCCTGTGCAGGAGCTGTGGGTAGACCAAGGACTGGAAGGGGCACAGAGGCTGCTTTTGCCCCTTTGGGAAAAGCAGCAGACCAGGCGTCACCATTGAACTGACATTTGATTCCAAGCATTGTCATCTCTATGCCTTCTTGTCTGACTACCCATCTGCCTCTCCCCACAGGTATGTGTCTCGATACCATGTGAAGGACTCCTCTCGCCACGTCATCCTGGGCACCCAGCAGTTCAAGCCCAATGAGTTTGCCAGCCAGATCAACCTCAGTGTGGAGAACGCCTGGGGCATCCTGCGTTGTGTCATCGACATCTGTATGAAGCTGGAAGAGGGCAAGTACCTCATCCTCAAGGACCCCAACAAGCAGGTCATCCGTGTCTACAGCCTGCCTGACGGCACCTTTAGCTCCGAAGAAGATGAGGAAGACGAGGAGGAGGAGGAGGAGGAAGAGGAAGGTAGGCAGCAGGCTGCTCTGAAACCTTGGGAGTGGTTTGTGAGCTAGTGAGAGAGCAAAGCTGGAGCCATGGTCACCTTTACCTTGGTAGCACTCTGAGTGCTCCCTGACACGTCCATTTATGGTGGCACTCGCTCCCTCTGGCTCCCAGAGCTGCCTCTGGGGTCTGTAGATCATTGAAGGGTAGAGCTGGAACATTGGGAGGGGCAGCAGCTCCTGAGGAAAGCCCTGGCCCTGCTGCTGCCAGTGATCCAGAGAAAGCAAGGCTGCTTGGGGTCTGTTCCACCAGAAAAGCAGCCTAGACAGCTGCTAGCTGCTGGCTGCAGGAAGTTGCTCCGCCTCAAAGGGTCCAGAAAGGAAGGGATGCGTCATGTCACTTGCGAGCTCAGTTCTCTTAACATTTTGTCTTTCAGAAGAAGAAAGTTAAATGAGATGGTGATGGGACAGTGATGTGGAGCGGGCAACATGGAGAAGGCATGAGAGGCTCCACCCAGCCTGGAAGAGTCGTGGTGCTTTGGCAGTGCCTGATGCCTGCTCTCTAGCAGGTGGAATAAAGTTTAAGTCCTTTTAGTCTCTTTACCTTCTCCTTTGCCTCCATGGTCATTTACAGTCTTCCCTAGCAGCGCTTGGAAGAGAGAGGCCAGAGTCCGTTTCTGCTGCGGTTCAGATGCTGGTTCCATCACTTGTTGGAGCACTGAGAACTACATTCCCAGTGGAGGGTGAAGGCCTCCAGTGCTGTCATGAAACCCCACGAAGTGCATGTGTAGTGTGGCAGTTTGAGGTGCCTTATGGGGGGAGGACCTGACTCCACATGAAATCCACTTGGCAGGTGCCCAGGGGTATGTCAGCTATGTAGAACCCAGCTGGTACCTGCAGAGCTTACTGGTGGGGAAGTGAATGTTCTTGAGAAAGACTGGTTTAGAAGAGTTTGCTGGATGCACCTCTGGGTGGCCATCCTAATGGTTTATAGGTTGTTTACAAGGTTGGCTTGAGCTGGTGACAGTCTGTTCAAGCCAGTACCCACAAAGCAATGTGTCATACCAAAAAAACAAAATTTAAAGGCTTTGTAAACTCCAAGTGAATACTGTTCTGGACACTGAAGTAATTACCCTGCCTTAGTAATTACCCCAAGCTTTCTATAAATACCTCATCTGGGCCCTACAGAACTGGAATGTGGGTGGAAGCCTGGCTGCTGTGTAGATAAGGAAACAGGCTCTGCATTGAGATTGCATTCCTAAAGATCAATTTTAATCAACATAATTGGACCTCAGGAAGCAAGCACGGGCTTACTCAACTTTATCCTGGGGTACTGGAAAGCTGAGGCAAAGAATCTGCTTGGGAGTCTTACAGTGTTTTTGGTTCAGGTGTTGTACTTTTTTGAACAGTCAACACTGGTAGCCTCAGGCTGGTCTTCAACTGCAGCAGTCTTGCCTCAGCCTCCTGTCCCGAGTGCTGGGGTTAGGTGCCTCGTGGGTTAATGTAGAGTGCAGAAAACAAAATGGTGTGAGGTTCGTCATGGGCTCCAGGGATAGACCAGAATCCAAATTCCTGAAAAATCCGTGGCCCAATCCACCTACACTAACAAAGGAGCAAGAAATTCCTGTGGGGCTCATTAAAAAATATTTTTTGGAAGGCTGGGCGTGGTGGCACAGGCCTTTAATCCCAGCACTCAGGAGACAGAGGCAGGCAGATGGATCTCTTGAGTTCGAGGCCAGCCTGGTCTACATAGTTCCAGGACAGCTGGAGCTACAGGGAGACCCTGTCTCAAAAAGACCCAAAAAAAAAAAAAAAAGGTTTTATATATATATATGTATGTATGTATGTATTGGGGGCTGGAGAAATGGCTCAGCGGTTAAGAGCACTAGCTGCTCTTGCAGAGGACCTGGGTTTGATTCCAGCACCCACATGGTGGCTAACGTCTGTAACTCCAGTTCCAGAGGAGCTGATGCCCTCTTCTGACTTCCCTGGGCATTGTGCAACACAGATGCACTTGCATATGTGCAGGCAATACACTCATACACATAATAAAATTTATTTACTCATGTGTTTTTTCTGCCTGTATATAAGTGTACCATGTGCATGCTGTGCACAGGCCAGAAGAGGGCATTGGATTCCCCTGGAACTTGAGTTACCCTTATGCTTGTTAGCTGCTGTGGGTGCTAGGAACCAAAACCAGGGTCCTCTGCAAGAACAGCAAATGCTAAACCATCTCTCCAGCCCGTTGGACTTTAAACTGCCTCAGGTCTTGTTGTTGGGTCATGTGTTGGACTGAAGATCAATTGCTGGAGACCCCGCACTGGGCTGGTTACAGTACCCCACACCTGCTGTCTATCAGGGTCCATCAGGTTTCAGGTCCCTGATCCTAGTTCCCTCGTTCATCCTTGCAGTCTTCCCAGCTGATAGAACAGACCAGTCTGCCTTATTTGGGTAAGCTATTTTGCCTAGATATTTTGACCACAAAGACAATTTCTGTCTGCCCTCAGGAGGCTTTTCTAATATTGGTTGTCAAGAAAATACAGGCATTCCTTGGTGGGGGCTTTATTCTGGGACACGGAGTTCTTTCCTGTCTTCCCTGAAGAACCCTTAGCTTTGGGTCACTGGAGTCTGCATCGCCCTCTCAAGGCTGCGGTCTTTCCCTCATACAGATTTCCAGGTAAGTCACCCCTGGGACGCCAACATCCTCTGCCCTCCCATTCGGTTGCCTGCACTGTTTCAACTCCATCTGTTATGTTGCTTTGGTTTTTGAAACAGTGTCATGGTAACCCAGACTGGCCTCAAACTCCTGGCCATTCTCCTGCCTCAGTCTCACGAGTGCTGGGATTGCAGGGGTGAGCCGCCATGTGGGCTCAGGCTCCGGACAGTCATCTTTGGCAAACACTTGTCTAATTTGACAAGTCGGTTATGTGATGTTAGGAATGGCATCCCTTGCCCACCCCTTCTATCGCCGGACGAGCACTGGCTTAGTAAAAAAGTACGGATTTAAAGCAGAGGTCCACTGCCCATCCCGGGTGTGCTGTACAGCGCAGCGGTGGCGCACCGGCTCCTGCCCCTGTATCCACTGGGGCAGCGCGCAAGCACGTGCACTCCGCTCCCGCGCCCGCCCAGACCACCCCAGCCCGTCCCGGCGTGCCCTGCGTGGAGCACGTGACCCCGCCCCGTGCCATTGTCGGGCTGAAGGGGCGGGGCCGCGGCGCGAGCCGGCCGAGGGCCTCACCCGATTGCAGGCCGTGGTTGGGCCCTCAGCGAGCTGGGAGCCTCACTCGGTGGGCCGGAGCGTGGCTTGAGCACACGCAAGTGCCAGCAGCAGCCCCCTGAGCGCGGGCACTGGAGGCAGCGGCAGGTGTGCCCCGGAATCCTCACGTGACCCGGGAGGCTGGAGGCGGGGCCTTGCAGGCCACACCCCCTTCAGGTTCCAGTCCGAGGGCGGGGACGTGGCTAGAGAGACCTGTGCCTGGAGGGTCCAGCCCGTGGAGGACTGTGCAGCTAGTGGGGCGCGTCTAGAATGAAGGGAAGTTGGGGCGGCCGCCTCTCCTCTGGGGTTACCATGACAATCAGGGAGTCTGGCGCGCTGGGAAAGAAGACCCTGTGGAGATGAGATGTAGGGATTCAGGATTCCTGAGCGCACTAGATCCCACCTGTAAGGGATGGAGTCGAGGCCGATGAGCCTCTAGGTCCCGTCAGTCCTAGACCTGTCCCGGGCCCCTTGGAGGTTCAGGACACTCTGCGGGACACTCGATCTTGGCTCCTCGGAAGAGCAGGCTCGCACCTGCCACCCGGCCCCGAGGTGCGAGGCCTCCCCTCTGCGGCAGGATGGGGCTCGTGGCCGCGCACCGGGGTCCCGCAGGGCTGCTGCTGGCGCTGGCCCTGCACCTTGCTCTGTGCGCCCGTCCCCACCGGGACTATTGCGTGCTGGGCGCCGGTCCCGCGGGCCTGCAGATGGCCGCGTTCCTGCAGCAGGCCGGCAGGGACTACGCCGTGTTCGAACGCGAGTCCGCGCCGGGCAGCTTCTTCACGCGCTACCCGCGCCACCGCAAGCTCATCAGCATCAACAAGCGGCACACGGGCAAGGCCAACCCCGAGTTCAACCTGCGCCACGACTGGAACTCACTGCTCAGCCACGACCCACGGCTGCTTTTCAGACACTACTCACAGGCCTACTTCCCTGATGCGGGGGACATGGTGCGCTACCTGCGTGACTTTGCACACCACCTGGGGCTCCACGTGCTGTACAACACAAACATCACCCACGTGACTCTGGACAAGGACCCGCAAGCCTGGAACGGCCACTACTTCATCCTGACGGACCAGAAGGGCCAGGCTTACCAGTGCAGGTAAGGAATGGCCTGCTGAAGTTGGACCCATCTTGGAAGGACATCACTGGATTGGCCTCGAGATGGGGGAGGATCGGGAGAAGAGGGGGTATTGGTGCCGCCCCTTGCCCGCGCAGGACTTCAGTGCTGAGGTTGGGCGCAGCCACCGTTTCTCAGGTGTGTCCCCAAAACATTATGGCCCAGTATGTTTGGAAAATTCTCGCAGTTTATCCTCCAGGATTCGTCAGACTCCATCTCCCTGTGATCCTCAGCTGTTGAGTATTCTCTATAAGCACAGCTGGTACCCACAAACCTTTGCAGGCTTGTCCAACCTTCTGACATTGCAAGACAAGGCTGTCATTTATAAAACTACAGTAAAGTTTTACAAAACTCATACCAAAAAGAATCTCATGTTTTAAGCAAGTTTGCCATTTGTGTTGGGCAGCATTCATAGCTATCCTGAACCACATGTGGTCCAGAGTCTCCTAAAACTACTGTCCCCCCCAAAATCCAGGCTGGGCCAAGTGTCCAGCCTGCATTAGACTGGCTGATGGGACTTCAGTAGAGCAGAGGTCCAACAAACAGGGCTTCCAGCCACCAGCTTTATCTTGCTTTGGCACGAGAGACAGTGAACATTGTATGGGCACCTCAAACTTGTCGAATCCTCCCAAGCACCCTAGAGAGGATGTTTACTGATGCCCATTTGGCAGGTGCAGACCTGACGATCAGCAAACTCCAGCACTGTGTCACACCACTGACTTGGTAGATCTGCAACTTAGGCTTGTATTTTGCTGACGCCAAAGCCTGTGTTCTTTCTGCTGCTCCAGGCTCTCTTCCTGGCTGTCAGCCTCACTCCTGCCTCCAGGCAAGGAAGGACTCAGCCAGTCTTCAACTGGTTCTGCAGCCCAGAGAAAGGGGGCTTTCCTGGGGGCTGTCATGATTTGGACTCCTGTATTTCAAGTAGCTGTGCTAGAGTGGAAAGGAGTTTGGAGGAAAGCAGACCAGGGTCAGAAAACAATGGGCGATAGGCTGCGTGTTCCCCTTCAAGAAGCCAATGGGTTCAGCATCAAAACCACACCTGTGGTCAAACCATCCCACAACCTGCAGAATGGAGACCTCCAGCTGCACTGCTCAAGTGTAGTCCCCACCAGTCAAAAGAGTAGAGCTGGGCACGATAGCACACACCTGTAATTCAGTACTTGGGAGGTTACGGCAGGAAGATCACTGCCACATAGCAAGACTGTATGGGGCGGGGGCAAGACCTTGGAATCGGGCCCATCTGTTCTGATTGTGGCTCTATTGCTTTGAAGTGCTCTGAGGCCAAGACCCTCAGGGCCAGTGATTCCTCACCTGTGAAGCAGGCCACAGAGCAAGATGGCACTGAGGAATAGATAAGATGATAAGCAAACAGGCTGTCACAGGGCCTGGGGCAGAAGTAATGCTCGCAGATGAGCGTGCCTTGCCTGCAAATCAGGATGGGGAACCAGAGCTCCTTGTTCCCCCTGTAGGGAGTGGAGGGACCTGGACGGAGACTTGATTGTACTCCTGTGTTCAGTGTAAGGAGACTTTTTTGTTGGTCTTTTGAGACAAGGTCTTTCTGTAGCCACAACTGGCCTGTGACTTGCTACGTAGACCAAGTTGGCCTCAAACTCACAAAGGTCTGCCTGCCTCTGCCTCCTAAGTGCTGGGATTAAAGGTGGGTGCCGGCCACACCCAGCAGAATATTTGGTTTGTTGTAGCAACCATCACCTTCTCAGAGAGCACATGTAATCCCCAGGCATGGTGAAACATGAAGGACTCTGGCTGTGGCTAGCTGAGAGAGAGGCACACTGGAATTCGGACTAGTAGATGGAGGAGGGAGAGAATGGGTGAGCAGATGAGTGGATGTTTCTCTGAGGAGTTGGCAGTGGGGTGGGGGGGATTGTCACTCATGAATGACTTTACGGCTGAGATACTAAACTGTCTTTCTTTGTCCCCACCTGTAGCATCCTGCTTGTAGCCACAGGTTTGTCAGTCCCCAAACTGGTTGACTTCCCTGGCTCTGAACATTTGGAAGGTTATGAATCTGTGTCGGTGGACCCTGAAGACTTTGTAGGTCAGAATGTGCTGATCCTGGGCCGTGGAAACTCGGCCTTTGAAACGGCAGAAAACATCTTAGGTGTCACAAACTTTGTCCACATGCTGAGCCGCTCCCGGGTGCGGCTTTCCTGGGCCACCCACTATGTTGGGGACATTAGGTATGCTATGTCTTATGTATTTTGTGTTATAAACCCCAAATCAGTCTGTTTCTTGATACTGTAAGAAAATACCTGAAGATGAGTAGATTACAAAGGTCTATTCGTTATTTTGCTCATGATTGCAGAGGCCACATCCACACAGTGCTGGCTCTAGCAAGAGCTCACCAGTCTGTATCACTTCATAGCAAATGGAATCAAGGTGGATGGTGCGCATGCCAGAGGGAAAGTCACATAGCAAGACAGGAAGCCGGACAAGGGAGGGGTTGAACTCCCTTCTTTTTTTTTTTATTTATTTTTTTGGTCTTTTTGAGACAGCGTGTCCCTGTAGCCCCAGCTGTCCTGGAACTCACTATGTAAACCAGGCTGGCCTTGAACTCACAGAGATCTGTCTGCCTCTGCCTCCCAAGTGAAGTGCTGGGATTAAAGGCATGCACCACCACGCCTAGCCGAACTCCCTTTATTTTTTTTAATATTTTTGTTTTGATTTTTTTTTTTTTTGAGACAGGGTCTTACTATGTGTCCCGGTTGACCTGGAACTCACTATGTAGTCCAAGCTGGCCTCCAACTCACCTGCCTCTGCTGGGATAAAAGATTCGTACCACCATGTCCCTCAGGCCCCCTTCTTTCATAGCAGCCCTTAAGTTAGAACTAACCAGCTGTCCCAAAACTACCTCAACCTCTTCCAAGTGTACGCCCTAATGATCTGTCACTAGACTCCACCTCTTCAAAACCTATCACCTGGGGCTAGGGCTGTAGCTCAGTTGGTAGAGTGCTTGCCTGGTATGTACAGAACTCTGAGTTTGATCTCTGTCTCTATGTAAACTAGGCATGGTGGTAATACCTGTAATCCTAGCACTCAGGAGGTAGAGGCTGGAGAATCAGAAGTGTAAGATCATCCTTGGGTACTTAGTGAATGTGAGGCCAGCCTGGGCTACATAAGGCCTTATGTGAATGAGAGCAAGAGAGAAAGAGAGGGAGAATGAGAGAAAGAGGCTGTGACTCTACCTTTGACCATTACCTCTGTAGGGACAAAGTTTCCAGTGCAATGCATGACCCCTTACCTTCAAACCCTATATGTGGGAGCTTCCCCCACCCCACCTATATTAGCCAGGCCTCCTGAATCTTCTCTCTTTGTCTCTGTCTCCCGTGTGTATGTGTGTGTGTGTGTGTGTGTGTGTATGTCTCTCCCAGAGCCATCAACAATGGCCTGTTGGACACCTACCAGCTGAAGTCCCTGGACGGGTTACTGGAATCGGACCTTGAATATCTGGCCCTTGTAAAGGACAGCAAGGGCAAGTTCCATATTACTCTCAAGTACTTCCTGGAGGAAAACAACAGCAGTCAGAATGCAGACTCCATCCCCCTCCCCCAGGACGACAATGACAACTTTGCCATGCGAGTGGCCTATGACCGTGTCATCCGTTGCCTGGGCTGGAAGTTTGACTTCTCCATTTTCAACCAGTGAGTCTAAGTGGGGCGGAGGTCGGGATCTCTCACAACCCCTTCAGACCTCTGTAGACACACAGACTTCAGGACAGCACTCCAAGGGTACAGGCGGGTGCCCCATGCCTCTATCCCAGGACAGGAACTATGTCCCAGCTGGCCCTGGAGTGGCCAGGGGACTTTGTGTGGGTTGTGAACCTCCACTCACAGGATGGATAGGCAAGCTCAGAACTTGCTTCAAGGCAATGTAGGCACAGAGGCTCCAAGCCCAGTACAGGGAACACCCCGGAGCCTTTGCTGACCTAATCTGTGAGCCCTGAAAGTTACTCTCCCAGTTCCAGCCCTAATTCTTCATCTCTAAAGTGGAGGTAATAGTTTCTTTCTTGTGTAGTTTTTGTAAGGGTTGGTAGAAGCAAATGCTTGGCATGCGCAGATGCTCAGATAAACATCACTTGCTGCAAGCATTTATAATTGTGCTGTGAAGAACTGCCTGGTCTTGGGATGTTATGGCCCCTTGCCTCTGGCAAAGCATAAGAGGCCAGAGCTTGCTCTGCCCACCTTCCCATCTGGTGACAGCAGCCTCCAGTCCAAAGTCCAACCTTGGGCCAGGCTTGAATCCTTAGTTATCTGTTAAATGACAGTGATTCCCCTCTTCCCAGGGTCACAATGAGGTTAAGTAAGATTCAAAGTATAAAGCACACATTCACTGAACCAAGAGCCCCATCCTCAGCTCCTAACAACCCTCTCCACTTCTAGGTCCCTCAGACTCTCCTCAGGGAATGAGTTCAGCAAGAAGTACCCACTAATCAAAGCCAGCTATGAGTCCAAAGGAAGCCGGGGTCTCTTTGTCCTGGGTACTGCCAGCCACTCAGTGGACTACCGGAAATCCGCTGGGGGCTTCATCCATGGATTCCGATACACAGGTGAGCCTTACTGAAGGGCAGGTGTCCCAGGGCTTAGAAAACCTACAGGTTCTTGACTATGGAAATGGCAAAGGGGTTTCTTATCAGAGTTGATGCTCATAACTTCACTGTTTTCATGGTTTACAGATGTCTAGAAAAAGCTACTGCAAAGATCGTGCCATGTTTTTTTCTGAATATAGTTAATATCTGTCCCTATGTCACAACTTCACAAAAAGAAATGTGTGCTTATTGTAGAAATGTAAAATAACACAGAAAAAGGTAGAGGATACCTCTGAGGGTAACCTGTGACATGCAGAAGCTCTGTGCAGGTTGACGTCTGCTCCTCCAGATGGGTGGTCTCAGAGGTGGTGCTCTCACAGGGCTGCTGTGAGGACTAAATGATACCCAGGCATGTGTACCTGTGAAGCATCTCCCACACTCTGGGTACCAGAAAACTTCCATAAAAATTCTGATGGATTGTATCAGTTCTTCTGGAAAACTTTCAGTATGAAAGGTATTACTTTCCCACTAACTTGAGAATGTTGGCATATAAAATGCTAAAACATATTTTTAAAAAGTAATTAGGCCCGGTGTGGTGGTACATGCCTTTAAAGCACTCAGGAGGCAGAGGCAAGCAGGCCTCTATGAGTTCAAGGCCAGCCTGGTCTATATAGTGAGTTCCAGGCCAGCTGGGGCTACATGGAGACTCTGTCTCAAAAAAGACCCCTCTTCCCAAAGAAAAAAGTAATTTGAAGAGTTAGAGCGATGGCTCAGTGGTTAAGAGCACTGGCTGCTCTTGCAGAGGACCTGGGTTCAGTTCCCAGCACCCACATGGCGACTTACAACTGCCCATACCTCCAGTTCCAGGCAATCTGACACCCTCCTCTGACCTCACAGGTGCACTTACATGCAGGCAATACACTCATACACATAAAATAAAAATAATATAAAAAAATTTTAAAGTAATTTGAGGGCATAGCACAGTGGTAGAGTACTTGTCCAGCATGCCTAAGGCCCTAGGTTCTTAATGCTAACGGTGATGATGGTGATGATTTGACTTAATTGTGTGAGATTAATGATGCTTTGTGATGTTAGGGATAAACATAAATGGAGAAATGAATTGCCACTTGTAGGTTACATACTCCAGAGGCTGGGCACTATAAACACATGTCCCCCAGTGCCTCCAGCACTCTGAGGTGGCTAGGGGGTCACTTTCTTCTGCCTTATTCCCTGTCCCTCCTCCCTCCCTGTCCCTCCTCCCTCCTTGTTCCTCCTCCTCCCTCCTCCTTTCTCTCCCTCCTCTCCATCTTCCTCCACCTCTTCTCTTCTTCCTCTTCCTCTTCTTCAATTGTACTTATTGTGTATCATGTGTGCATACACATTCGTGCACTGTGGTACACACGTGAAGGTCAGAGGACCTGGTTCTCTCCTTCCATCATGGACTCTGGAGATTGAACTCCAGTTGATGGACTTGCATAGCAAGCACTTTTACCCACTGAACATCTGGCCAGGCCATCCTTTGTTTTTTGAGGAAACATCTGAGGGTCAGACAGATCTTTTTGTTTCTGGTTTGGGGTTTTTTAGAGAAAGGCTCTCCTGCCCCCACCCTCTCCATGGAGGAAGCAGTTGAGTGAGATGTTTAGCAGTTACCCACATTTTCATTGGGTTCAACGCTGCAGCTTGGTAAGGCTTTTGCATGAAGCATTTGCTTTGCATTCTGTAGATGGAGGATGAAGTCTCAAAGTCCTTGTTATCAGGAGTATGGTAGAAAGTATTCCCTTAGGACTCTGAATGTTCTTGGTCTGTGTATCCTCAGTTCCTACTCCAGTGTCCACAGTGCTGAGGCCAGGGAGAGAAAGTTGGATGTGTAATAAATAATGGAAGGGAAAATGTTTATGTGGGTGTGGTAGCCCAGGCTGGCCTCAAACTCCCAGTAGTCTTCCTGCCTCAGCCTGCCAGGTTCTGGGATTATACTGTACACAACACACCTGGCTTGTTTTTTGTTTTCTTTAAAAAACAAAAAACGGGCTGGAGAGATGGCTCAGTGGTTAAGAACACTGGTTGTTCTTGCAGAAGACCCGAGTTTGAATCCCAGGACCCACATGGCAGCTAACAACTGTCTGTAACTCTAGTCCCAGGGGATCCAACAGCCTCTTCTGACCTCCTCAGGCATTGCACAACACAAGTGCACTTACCTACATGCAAGCAATACATGCAGACACATAAAATAAAAATAATAAATAAAATTTTTAAAAAAGGCCGGGTATGGTGGCGCATGCCTTTAATCCCAGCACTCAGGAGGCAGAGGTAGGTGGATCTCTGTGAGATCAAGGCCAGCCTGGTCTACATAGTGAGTTCCAGGACAGCTGGAGCTACAGGGAGACCCTGTCTCAAAAAAAAAAAAAAAAAAAAAAAAAACCAGACAAACTTTATGTATGTATGTGTCTGTGTTGCCTGCTTGTCTGTATGTGCACCATGTGCATGCATGTGCCTGTAGAGGCCAGAAGAGGGCATCAGATATCATGGATCTGGATTACACGTGGTTGTGAGCCACCCAGTGTAGGTGCTGGGAAATAGACCCAGAATCCTCTGCAAGAGCAGCAAGTTCTCTTCACTGCTGAGCCACCTCTCCAGCCTCTGTTTTCTTTTTAAAGACAATAGGCAGATGTTATGGGGGGAACAGACTTGGTGATCAGTGCAAAGATCTTGCCATGTTTTCTATAAATATATATAGCAGTATCTATCCCTACTTCACAACTTCATAGAAGTAAATGTATGCTTACTGTAGAAATGTAAAGTAACAGGGCTGGCGAGATGGTGCAGCAGTTAAGAACACTGGTTGTTCTTGCAGAAGACCCAGGTTTGAATCCCAACACCCACATGGCAGCTAACAACTGTCCGTAACTCCAGTCCCAGGGGATCTGACGTTCTCTTCTGTCCTCCTCAGGCATTGCACAACACAGGTGTACTTACCGACATGCAGACAATACACCCACACACATAAAATAAAAATAATAAATAAAATAGTTTTTTGAAAAAAGAAATGTAAGCCGGGCATGGTGGCAAATGCCTTTAGTCCCAGCACTCGGGAGGCAGAGGCAGGCAGATCTTTGTGAGTTCAAGACCAGCCTGGTCTACATAGTGAGTTCCAGGCCAGCTGGGGCTACAGGGAGACCCTGACTCAAAAAGACAAAAAAGAAAAACAAATGTAAAGTAACACAAAAAGGAACTCAGTGTAATCACAGCACACAGACCTCTAATTGACATTTGGGGTTTTTATTTGTTTGTTTTTTGGGTGTTCTTGTTTTAGATTTTTCTTTCTGAGACAGGGTAGCCTCAGTTGGCCTGGAACTCGCTATGAGGACCAGGCTGGCCTCAACCTCACAGCCAGCCTCTGCCTCCAGAGTGCTGAAATTAAAGATATGCATCACCCAGCCTGCTCCCCCTCCATCTTCTCTTTCTTCCTAACTTCCTTTTTTTAAACTTTATTTATTTAATGTGTATGAATGTTTCGCCTGCATGTTTGTAAGTGCACCTGTGTTGTGGCAATGCCTGCGGAGGCCAGTAGAGGGCGTTGGATCCCCTGGTACTGGAGTTATGGATGGTTGGTAGCCACCATGTGAGTGCTGAGATTCGAACCCAGGTCTTCCAGTAAGAGCAGCCAGTACTCTTAACCGATGAGCCATCTCTCCAGCCCCTAATTGACATTGGGGGTTTTTGTTTCCTTTTTTTAAACTTGGAACAGAATTTATGTGTATGTGGGTGTGTCTTGACCTTGCTCCTTGTTGCCTGAGAAGCAATCCTAAGGGAAACCAGAGAGAAAGGCAGTAAAGTGTCAGGAGACAAAGGCAGTGGCACAGACTACCACTGCATAGGAGAAATGACACACTGCAAACCCTGCCCTGACTTGCTCTCACAACCCTCCCTGCCTGGCCTCCACACAAATTAGGGCTTCTTTGGCTCCTGACTAGCCTTCCTGCCAGCAGCCTTTCTAGCTTCCCATCTGATCATGTCATCTGGTCATGTGGTACTTGTAAAAACACCCTTGATTTAAACCAAAGGTCTGGGGCTAGGGATGTGGCTCATTTGGTGGAGTGCTTGCCTGGCATGCACAAAGCCTTAGGTTTGATCCCCAGCCCTTCATAAACTGGGCATGATGGTGCATGCCTGTAATCCTAGTGTTCAGGATGAAGTGCTGAGACTTTAAAGGTCTCCTCAGCTATAGTGAGTTCAAAACCAGCCTGGCTTAGAGACCCTGTCTCAATAAAAAAAAGTGGGAGAGCTCTGAACTAGATCTGGTGGCTCAGGTGCCTGAGGCAGAAGGATCATATGTTCAAGGCCAGCCAGGAGTACACAGTGAGATCCTGTCTCAAAAATAAATGAGTAAGCCAGACAGTGGCACACTCCTTTAATCCCAGCACTTGGGAGGCAGAGGCAGGCAGATCTTTGTGAGTTCGAGGCCAACCTGGTCTACATAGTAAGTTCAGGACAGCTGGGGCTACAAGGAGACCAGGTCTCAAAAAGAGAAAAAAAAAAAAGAGTAAATAAATAAATAAAATGGGGCTGGAGAGATGACTCAACATCAACAGTTAAGAGCACTGGCTACTCTTACAGAGGACCAGGTTCAATTCTCAACATCTACATGGCAGCTAACAACTATCCTTAACTCCAGTTCCAAGGGAATCCAACACCCTCTTCTACCTCTGTGGGTATTACACAACACAGGTACACTTAGTCACATGCAGGCAATACAGTCATACACATAAAATAAAAATAAATAAAATATCTTTTAAAAGATGGGGGGCTGGAAAGATGGCTCAGCAGCTAAGAGCACCCACTGCTCTTGAAAGGACCCAAGTTCAGTTCCCAGCACCCACATGGCAGCTAACAACCATGCTTAACTCTAGTTCCAGGGAATCTGTCTCTTCTTCTGACCTCCATGGTCATTGCATGCACACTTATATACATGTAAGCAAAACATTCATATTTATTTTATATAAAATAAAAAGATAATTTTTAAAAAAGAGATTCTATCCTCAGTACCACTAGATGGGGCTGGGGGGTTGTCTTCTCCTTGAGTCTTGTTCTTTCTGACTCCTCCTCCACTCCTTGGAAACTTCAGCACCTCAGCATGGCACCACCTGCCCTCCACAGGTCCTGCTTTGCCAAGGTGCCAGGTTTGTTCTTCATCCCAGGCGCCCTTCCAGGTGCCTCCAGCTGTTCTGCTCCCAAACCTCAAAAAACTCAGAGGGCCACAGTCACCTCCAGGGAGCAAGAGGCCCACCACAGCTCCTTTCCATGAACTCACTTTTGTGGCCCAATTTTTTTTTTTTTTCTGAGACAGGGTCTCCCTGTAGCCCCAGCTGGCCTGGAACTCACATTGTAGACCAGGCTGGCTTGAATTCACAGAGATCCTCCTGCCTCTGCCTCTGCCTCCCAAGTGCTGGGATTAAAGGCATGTGCCACCATGCACAGCGTGGCCTGATTTTTAATTGCATTGTTTGTTGACTTTGGAAGCACACATGTCTGTGGTGGGCCATTTCATGACAATGTAGAGCCACCCCAGGTATGCAGAAAATCTACCTCACTCTTAGATTAGACAAGGGTTGCTTTCTACAGAACATCTCAGAACAGAACCCAGGTACAGCTGGGTTTGGGCTGTGAGGGAGAGGAGCAGTCAGAGACGAGCCATATGTGCTTCAGATAGAAATGGCCTCAGGAGGGCTCTGTGTCTGGGTTGGCTATGCCCAGTGTGAAGGGATGGCAGATGGCAGTGGGTGGACCACTGAGACCCAAATCCTATCCCACTCATTCTTTGCCTGTTACTTGAGGGACAGAACAGAGCAGGGTCCTTCAGTGGCATGTGACTATGAACAGAGAACATCTGTCACCTGGCCCTTTATACACAGTGCGGCTCCCCAGGCCTGGGCCTCCATCCAGCAAAAGGATAAAATCTTAAGTACCACAGGCCCTTCCTCCTCTGGCCATTTCAGTGCGTGCAGTCCACCGGCTCCTGGAGCACCGGTACCATGGCATCACCTGGCCGTCCATGGAGCACCCCATCACACAGCTGACCAGCTCCATCATCCGGCGTGTGAACGAGGCTTCTGGGCTATACCAGATGTTTGGTGTGCTAGCCGACATCATCCTGCTGAAGAAGTGAGTAGCCTGTCCCCTCCACCTTCCCCACCTGGCTCTACCCACATATCCTACACTTTGCTTCTCTTCCTATCCAGTGTGCTAAGTAGCCTGGTGTTTTTCTTGCCAAAAGGAAGCCTGCAGTGGGTTGTTCTATCCTGGGAGGATAAATCATTGAAGTGAATACCACCATCTGTGCAGGAGTGAACGCTGAGTTTACCAAATTCTCTGTGTGGCTTTGACAGTTAGTTGGCCTCTCTGAGCTTTCCTGTTGCATCTGTAAAATGAGCCTCACAGCCTTGCAGCCTTGAAGGAAGGTCAAGGTGGTAAGCTATAGATCACAGGACATTCAGAGTCTGAGAATGCAGTACAGGACGTAGGAGGAGAGAGCAGGGGAGGGCTGTGGGGAGAACTCTCAGAAGACAGGGAGATAAGTAGAGGAAGAGCCCCTCAAAGGTCAGAGGGCTCAGCACACCCACCTCACTTGTCCTTAACAGTTCCAGAGCTGTCTAGATCTGACCAGCCTTCACCACGTTCCCACTCTGGGTCTGTATTCCAGTCCTGCCATCCACACTGGCCCAGCATCCTTCCTCCATGACTGGCCTACCTTCAGTGCCATCCCTTCAAAAGGAGAATCATGGGCCAGGCATAGTGGTGCACGCCTTTAATCCCAGCACTTGGGAGGCAGAGGCAGGTGGATCTTTGTGAGTTTGAGGCCAGCCTGGTCTACATAGTGAGTTACGGGCCAGCTGGGGCTACAGGGAGACCCTGTCTGAAGAAGACCAAAAAAAAAAAAGAGAGAGAGAGAGAGAGAATCATACTGTCATCTCTGCTTCACACTTCCTAGGGGCAAGCTGATCCACTGGACCCCACATTCACCTTGTACCCCCCTTTATGCAGCCCCCTGTGCTCTCTTGCCCAGGGTCTCTTGTCTCTACCCACACTGGCCAGCAAAGCCTTCATCTGGCCCCAGGCCTTCTCTGCTTTTCCTCAACCTGGAGCACTCTTGCCTCAGGTGTGTACTCAGGGTACCCTGAATTTCTGGAACCTGCCCTTAGTGTGAGAGGGAGCACAGCTGCCGTGGTGATATGATAGGGTGGGGAATTCCTGATCCGTCTACACCACTGCACTGGCACCTGCCATGCCCAGTTGCCACCTGTGAACCTGTACCCCTTACCAGAACCCAGCCCCGAATCTCCCTGGGTCCCACCCCCAGGAACGCCACAGCATTTGAGTACCTGGAGGAGTTCCCCATGCAAATGCTGGCCCAGTTGGAGACCCTCACGGGGCGGATGGCACACCACGGCCTCTTCGTCATCAGCATGGAGTATGGCAGAAACTTCTCTGGACCTGAGAAGGACGTTTTCTTTTACGACCGGTCTGTGGGACACACGGAAGACGCCTGGCGATCTAACTTCCTCCACCCTGTCATTTACTACTACAGACACCTCCCCACTGGTGAGCTGACATGCTATCCCTGAACTCTGCCTCTCCCAAAGGGGTACTCCAACTCCTTCTTTCTGTACAGTCATTACCACAAGCCTCACAGAAGTCCTGCATATGCCGGGGGGCACCCGGGGGAACCTACATAAGCCAGGCTGAAGTGCTTAATCTCTGAGCACCATGCAGTGTGAGCTTTGTTGTGCTGCAGTGCCTCCAAGTGAGGGGCAGAGATGCTACAAGTAAGTATGAGGAGGGGCGAGTGAGGACCACAGGATGGCTCAGCGGGTAACAGTGCTTGCTCCACAAGCCTGGCAACCTGAGTTCAATTCCTGGAACCCACATAAAGATGGAAGGAGGAAACCAACTCCAAAAAGTTGTCCTCTGACCTCTATACACATGCTGTGGCATGCAAGCCCCACCCACATGCCATGTACACACATTTTAAGTAATTTTTATATATTTAGCAGCATATGACTGTTTTTACCTGAATATATGTAAGTGCACCATGTGTCTGCAGTGCCCACAGAGGACAGAAGAGGGCGTCTGATCCCCTGGAATTGGAGTTATGGATGGTTGTTAGCTGCCATGTGGATGCTGGGAACCAAACTTCGGTCCTTTGCAAAAGCAGTGGTACAAAAATTCAAGGCGAAATCTCCAGCTCTTTCCTCATTGCTGTGTGATCTTGACCATTACTTAACCTCTCTGAGCCTCAATTCCTGCTCTAGAAAATGAAATGACAATAGTCACTTTGTACAGAATTATGGAAGGATACACACACAATACCAGCAATACCAGGACAGTGTAGTGACCAACTCACAGCCTGGGTAACTCACCTTCCACTCCAGAGCTTGAAGAGCTGCAGCTGGAAGAGGGTGAATGTAATCCCAGCACTGGGGAAGCTGAAGCAGAGAATTGCCCCAAGTTTATGTTGAGACCCTCTCTTAAAATTCAAAACAGCTGGATGGTGAGGCACTTGGGAAGTAGCAGTAAGAGGCCAGTCTGGGCTATCTAAGACCCTGTCTCAAAAGAAGAAGAGGTGGTCCTGCGGGGGATTGCTCCCAAGGGCAGAAGCAGCTTGAATAGGCAGAAGAGACCGGGATGCATGTCTGTATTCAATAGCAGGAGCACTAGCCAACTAGGATTCGTTGTCTGTCCTGGAGTCTAGTTCCCAGGATGGCCAACTGTTGGCTCGGGGCTGGTGGGCTGCTCCTTCCCTGAGGGCAGAGTCCACAGCAGTGGGAAGTGGACTTAGAGAAGTCCCACACAGGGCCTCTGAGCCCATCACCAGCCTCAAGTCACTGGTCCTACCCTGCCCTCAGAAACTGCAAGTGGCAGCTCTATTTCCTCTTTCTCCCATCAGCCATCCAAGTATGTGAAGATAGCTATTAGCCAGGCTGACCACAGCCTTGCAGAAGTGCCCCAGGAGGTGGGCACAAGAGCAGGGGGAGGCCCTGGAGGTCCAGGACCTGCTCTGACACCTGCCTCTCACCACAGAGCAGGAGGTACGGTTCCGGGCGGCACACTGGCCTTTGCCCCGACCTGCTGCCATCCATCACATCCTGGAAGACTTTCTGACTGACTGGACTGCACCAGTGGGGCACATCCTCCCACTGAGACGCTTCCTGGAGAACTGTCTGGACACTGATTTGAGAAGCTTCTATGCAGGTAACCCCAGTTCCCCAGAGGGCAGAGGGTCAGCCTGATAGAGTCCTCTGAGGGAGGGCCAGACAGCTCCATGCCCTGTGGAGTTTCAGGATCCAGATCTAGAAATCCAAAGCCCAGATTCCTGTTTGCTGCAGTGGCAGAATGCATGCTCACCCAAGGTTCCTCCCAGTGCAGCATACCTGAAAACAAGCATTAATGTGTCCTTTTTAAAGAACTAGAAGGAAATGCAGGGAACTCCAGAGGCCAGACCACTGCTAGCCCAAGATGAGGTGCTCATCTTCAGTAGTCCAAGACCATGGTGTGTGCTGAGTACCACCTGGCACAGGAAGATAGGCGGGGCCTGATGGGACGTTTATTTAGAGACCTTCAATAGGCTTGGAGCTCAGTGGGTAATGAGATTTAAAAAAAAAAAAAAAAAAAAAAAAAAAAAACACACAGAGGTTAAATCCAGGTGCTTGGGAGGTGGAGGTAGGAAGACCAGGAATTCAGATCCAACCCAGACTACAAAACAAGTTCAAGTCCAGCCTGAGCTCCATAGGACATTGTTTAAAAAATGGAAAAAAGTCCCAAGAGAGGGAGCAATGGAGGAATGTATGTTTGTTTGGCCTTTAGTAGAATAAGGGAAAAATCTCCCCTAAGAATTTCCTACCACTAGGTCCCACCCTAGTAAATTTAGGGCCTAACTCCATACCATCTTATGGTATAGAAATCACAGAAGCAAACACAAATCTTTCCTCAAGAAATACACTTTAAAACTGGTTCCCCAAGAATTACCATGGATGAAGTTCCGAGGAAAATTAATTCCCAATCAAAATCACTTACCTTGTAAGGACATAAACCACCATGAAAGATTGTTAGCAGACACAATAAACTACAGGATCAAACCAACAAAGGCTGCAGATATTGGAAATACAAGAAAGAGATGGTTGAAATACAGCGAAAAGTGAGTCTACATTTTGGTTGGGTGAATACTTCAGTGGCAGAGCACTGGCCGAGGATGGATGGGTTTGATCACCAGCACAGAAAGGGAGAGAAGGGAAGGGAAAAAGGAAGGAGGAAAATACAATGAAAAGGTAGGGCCTTCCAAAATTGATTGTGCAGGTTTGAAAAAGATCCAGATAGAACTTCTGGAATATGCTTGCAGTGATAAATTCAGCATACAGGTTTTAATGGTACATTAGACAGCTGAAGAGAGAATTGATGAACTTGAAAGTAGATCTGACCCAAACTCAGAGAAGGACTGATCCAGAGGAGAAATTGAGAAACAAGGCAAATTGTTGTCTTTTTAAATCGTAGAGTGTTGCAAGTCCATTCCTTTATTTATATTGACAGATCATCCGTTGTGTGTCAGACATCATTCACACCAAGTCAGTTGAAGATCGACTCTAGCCTAGTCAGAGAGCAAGCATTTCGCTTTGCTTTGAAATAATGCTGTTTGGGAAATGGCTTGAAACAAATGCTTAAAATGATAATCTAAATTCATCTTTATTTTCATTTAAATCATTTCTTTTGAGATGCTGTGGGTGAACCCAGGGCCTCATGCATGCTTGGCAAGTGTTCTGCCACTGAGTGACATCCCCAACCTGATACTCTAAATATATACCCATCACAAACTTGGGTTCATTCATAGAGTCAGAGCTGAATACCTTTGCATTCTAGCAGTCTGTCAGCTGCCAACATTACTCATAACTGACCAGTGAAATGACCAATGAGATGAGAGCCCTCAGCTCCAAACTGTCTCCCTGTTCCTTGAGGCTTTGAGTCCACAAAAATGCCAGTGCATGCTCAGGAGCCTGTCCCATGGAAAGCCGTGCGTGGCTGTATTTTCCCAGCCCTGCAAGCTGCTGGATGTGCTGGTGTCCTGAACTGGGACAAATCCTTACAGCAGAAGGCCGCTGGCGCAGCTTGAGGCTCCCTGCTGCCATTTAACCATAGCACAGCTGCTAGCTCTGGCCTCAGCCGTTCCTGGGCCCTACAGAAGGATGACGTCATCAGGCAGTCATGCTAGCCAAATGGCCACCAGGCTGTCCTTGCATCTGCCCTCTTCCCTGCCAAGGTCTCTGTACTGGCAGTCAAGTGAAACAGGAGAGGTGCTGTAGAGACCTCAGCCTGTTCACCATGTGAGCCTCATAGCAGCTTTCCTCATATGGCCCTCCTTTTGAACATGAGTTAGAGACAGGGAGGTGAAGAGTTTTCCCCCAAAGTTGCAGGACTCTGGCCGGGCTCTAACACTCTGCCTTCCCATCCTGCCTCGCTCCCTGCTCCCTCAAAAGACTAAGCCTCTATATGTCTCTGCTCCCATTTTCTCAATCAAAGCCATGCAAGTGTGCTGAGTTCTCTCCCCACCCCCCTTATCCTTGGAGGATACAGTCCAAGACCCCCAGTGGATTTCTGAAATGGTCGAACCAAATCTTAGACTTCCATGCATGCCTAGCCAAAGATGCATTCTTACCATAGATCTTAGCAACTGCAGCATACAAGTTGGTTTTTCTTTTCTTTTCTTTTCTTTCTTTTTTTTTTTTTTTGAGACAGGGTCTCCCAACTGGCCTGGAACTCACTATGTAGAGCAGGCTGGCTCACAGAGATCCACCTACCTCTGCCTCCTTGGGATTAAAGGCGTGCGCCACCCCGCCCAGCATTGTTGCTTTTTCTTACTCAGTGTAGAACTATCATCTTTGCACTTAAAGCAAGAATGTTATGGCTTTCCTTTGGCACATCCAAATTGCCACATCACTGTTCCTATGCTTTTATAACCATCATTAAATAAGGGTTACCTGACAAGCACACTGTGACATTATGACAGGCATGTTAACCAAGACAGTTACTAAGTATCTGATGGGAAGGTAGTATATACAATGTGGATACCTGGATGAAGAGATGATTCCCATCCTGTTAATCAAGTGGCTACTAAGTAACTAGCAGGTAGACCATATATACAATGTTAATTCTTCAATGATTGAGTTCCAAATGTGGATTCCCACCCCTGGTGGACTGGAGCAGAAAGGCTCTAGATTTTCATCACACAGTTTAAAACATATGATTTATTTCTAGAATTTCTTATCTAGTATTTTCAGACCACAGTTGACTGTGAATGAGTGAAACCATGGAAAACAAAATCCTAGGTAAGATGGGACCACTGAACTTGGCTGAAAAGACTTTTCCCAGCTCCCCACTCTCATTCTCCACAAGGACTACTGCTGCTTTTGTGGTGGTCCCTCCTGAAGCCTTCACTTTGCTCATAGCTTCTTTAGTTATTCATATTTCAAAATAATACATATCAGCTGGGTGTGGTGGCGCACGCCTTTGATCCCAGCACGCAGGAGGCAGAGGCAGGTGGATCTCTGTGAGATCAAGGCCAGCCTGGTCCACAGTTTCAGGACAGCTGGGGCTACAGGGAGACCCTGTCTCTAAAAGACCAAAAAAGACCAAAATATTACATATCCACAGTGCTGGTAACAGAACTTTTTTATTACCTTTGAGTGTGGGTGTGTGTGTTGGCATTCTTGTACGCAAGTGCATGCATGCACACACACACACACACACACACACAAAATGGAAGTCAGAGAACAGCTTGTAAGTCAGTTCTCTTCTTCCACCATGTGGGTTCCAGGGATCAAACTCAGATCCCCAGACTTGACAGCAGGCACCTTTGCCCACTGAGCCATCTCACTGGCCCAGGAATAGAACTTCTCATGCAATATTTGCAGTGTTGATATTATTACAGGCAATGCTGAGCTCAAAGTGGGACTGGTCCCAAGGAAAGCCAGCTTCTAGAAGAGCAAGCTGGGGGCCAGCTCTCCAGAGATGGCTCCTGTCCCAGGCCAGCCCCATGTGGAGCATAGTGTTCAGCTAGCTTTCTGGGACCCATCGTTTCTGTGGTTTCATTCATTTTGGTGCTTCATGGAGAATCTTGGCCCATGACCTGTTTGGGTCATCCTGGGTCATCCATGAGAATTCTGGGGAAGGGCAACTCCAGGTTGAAGGGCTGGAAAGGGCTGTATAAAGCCCCCTGATTAACAACGCCCCCAAGTGTCCCCAGCATTGGCCACTCCTCTTCCAGCTTCTCTGTCCATTCCTGGCCTTTTTTTTTTTTGCCTTTGTGTAGAATCCTGTTTCCTGTTCATCTTCACACGCCAGAAGCTGCCTCCCTTCTGCCAGCATGGGTACCTGCACATGCAGGGGCTTGCAAGCACCGAGAGCCTTCAGCAGCACGGGGTGGAGAGCAGACTCCTGAAGAGCTATGCAGCCATGGAGGACAGCAGCCAGGGACCTGGTGACCACCCCCTGGCTCCAGAGTCTCTCACTCAGTCCCTTGACAGCAACAAGGAGGAGCTCTGAGTGTCCTCTCCCAGGCTCTCGGTGTGTGACAGTGCCTCCACCCAGGAATCTTTGCCTCCAGGCAACCTCTTTCCCTCAGCTCCTGACAGCTCAGGACACCTGATCATCACAGGGAACACAACAAGGCAGCTTGTAGAGTGCAGAAGGCTGGGGCATGGCCACAGTGGTCTCCCTTCCTGTGCTGGTCCTGCATGCTAGGATGCAGGGTCGGTAGAAGGGCACCTTCTGCCAGGTGTGAGCTGCTTTCCATGGCCAGCTTGTCTCCAGTTGGAGCACTGCTGAGCATCAGGCTGGCTGGTAGGTCCCTTCTAGGGCTGCTCTCTTCCTAATGGCTCACTCTGCAGGTGAGCCTGGCTCTACCTAGGGAACAGCTCACAGCTTGAACTCACCCTGATTTCCACAACAGGCATGTATCAAGTGTCTCCCAGGGTCCCCATCTGGAGGGCCTGTGTCTGCGCCCCTCTTCCCGCACTGCCTTGTGGCACCTGTTCTCAACAGAACTCAGGGTCCAGGCTGACTGTTCATCACAGGCCCAGAGAGCTGGCATAGGGCAGAGATGGGAAGCTCCTGTAACGCCAGCTGTCTATCAGGCTTCTCAGAAGCAGGGCATCTCAGAGCTGCCCTGTCCCCAGGATCACACTCCGAGGGATAAGCGGCCTCAGTGTCCTTCTCCCGCCTTGCTCTCTACCATCCTGAGCCATGTCTTGTTTGAGACCCAGCAGGGCAGGTTGAAGGCAGCAGTATTCTAGCGCCTGCTGTCTTGTGCATGGAGACAGTCACAGGTACTTACCAGCGCCTGGTTGCCTTCCTGCTCCTCTCCATCATTGTTCCTGGACAGAGTCCACACTCAGCTGATAGTTTAGTTTCACTGAAGAATAAGCCAACACTTGGTGATCACGTGATGCCTCATAGCCCCAGAGCTTATGCACTCATCAGCCCTCACTCTTCCTTCAGGGGGCCACTTGGGCATCTAAGGACGACTCTGGACGCAAAGCCCCTTCCTGGGAGCATCCTCTTCCCCTTGGAAGAGTCTTGACTGAGTCCAAACCCCCTTAGCTACCCGGCCTCCTGTTGGCCTGCAGCCACGTCCCATCCAGTGCTCCAAAGACTCTAGCAGGGCAATTAACAGCCTCATGTCACCAGAAGGAATTGTGTGCCCAGGTTCCTACTTGGGGTAATTTACACAGGGCCAAAACTTGTAACTGAAACATCTCCTAATCCCAGGATGGCAGATGTGCTGTGCATTTCATGCATGTGATTGGCAAGCCAAAATGGGGCCCTGCTGCCCCACCCTCTCTTTTCCAAAGCAGTTTTAAATGAATCTTTCAATTAGCACAGTACGGTGAATCGAATTCTGTTCCTTACATCTCACCCAGCAATCACTGGCGCTGTCTGAGCCACTTGTTCCCGTAAGTTTGAGGTGCTTTAACAAGTAGTTGGCTGCTGCCTGTGTGTGTGACATCTGCTGTTTCCTGTCATCTGCCAGATCATTCATGCATCGAAATACCAGGCAGCCTTGTTTTAATACAGAGGATTCCATTCTTGCTCAGTTGACAAGAGATGTCTTCCTTGCTTTTTCTCTTTTGACAGGGTTTCGATATGTAGCCCCTGCTGACTTCCTGGTGCTTACTCCACAGCCCAGTCTGGACCTGGACTCTTGGCAACTCTGCCTCAGCCTCCCAGGTCCTAGAATTACAAGTGTGAAGCACATGACTGTTTTATTAAATAAAAGGTTTAAATTAAGGGAAACTTGGTGTGGTGGTATCCATCTGTATCCCAGCACTAGGAAAGCAGAAGCAGGAGAATTGGACTGAAGCCTGGCTGTGGAGAGTTCCAGGGTAGCATGGGCAACTCAGCAAGAGCCTTTCTAACAAAAAAACTTTGTTGTTTTGTTTTCCTTTTTGAGACAGGTCTCCCTGTAGCCCCAGCTGACCTGAAACTCTGTGTAGACCACGCTGGCCTTGAACTCTCAGAGATCCACATGCCTCTGCCTCCTGAGTGCTGGGATTAAAGGTGTGTGCCACCATGCCCAGCTTAAATTTTTTTTAAGCCATAAAGACAGAATGGGTAAAAATAATTCTAGTGAAGGAACTGATTGAAATAAATGAGAAATAAGGTGAATAGTTAAGTAAATCTTCACCCAGTGGATGATGATCTCAAGTGGTGTGGAGAAGGATGGATCAGTACACACATTTGATAGTGAAAAGAAGCCGGTGTGAAACTGCTGCAAGGGCTGAGCTGCTTGTCACTGCAAACCTAAGAGATCACAGCACAGAGAGCCAGGAAAGGAAACCAAGAGATGCCAGCAGCCACTTCTCTGCATCTTGGGGACTGAGTTCTTTTTTCTCCTCCATCAAATTTGTGTTCATTTTTAAAATGTGATTATATAATACTGAAGTAGTTTTTTTTTAATCTCTGATCTTGAAATTGCTGGGAAAGAGTGAGCATAGGAGCCCCAGCAATAGGGGGTATTCTGCTGTGCTGGTCCATGTGGTTCCAGGGTACTGTCCCCTGGGGAAAGAGCAGCAAGCATCAGGGCATAACTGCTGAATCTGCGGCAGGGTAGGATACCTGTAATCCCAGCACTCAGGAAGTGCAGCTAGGAGGATCAGGAGTTCAAGATCATGCCTGGGTACATTGAAAGTTAAAGGTCAGCCTTTCTCAAAAACCATGCTTAGACTATAGGAAGTGAATTATGAGCTGTGTGTTCCTCACATTGAGGCATAAATGCTTGGACTTAAAATGATCCTGAGCTAACTTCTAAAGGGCTTACACTGGGTGTAGTAAACTTTAGGTAAACCTCAGATCCAAGATAAACTCCAAGCCAGGAACTGTGTGAAACCCCCAACCCAGAAATCCTGTTACCTGGGAAAACAAATAGCCCCTATTGTCTCAAAACCTCCAAACCAAGTCACCAGCACTGGCCTACCCACCTCCCCCTTTCCAATCCCCCAACCCTTATACGCAGCCCACCAACTGTGCCTGAGGAGAAACTGTCACACCTTCACTGTTCTTCATAAAGAATCTGCTCCTGAAGTCGGTCTCATCTTTCATTTTCATGTTGCCCTGGTCAATCTAATTAACATTTTCTAGCACATGTGGATTCTGAACTGATGGATACCACACAACAGAGATTGTCTTGGAAGAATCTTTTCTCCTAAATCATAGAAAAATAAAAATCCTCATTTTGGGAGAGAGTTCCTAGGTTCTGCAGTGCATTGTAGAACCCCAAATTTCCTTTTGCCTGATAAAAGTGGGGGTGTCCATGAAGTCTGCCTGGAAACCAGCTAACCAAGAAGTGAACTTGAAGGCTGGGGATGTAGCTCCTTGGCAGAGTGCTTGCCTAGCATACACAAAGCCCTGGAGTCAGACATGAATCAGGTGTGGTGGCACACACCTATAATCCCATCACTCTAGAGGTAGAGGCAGGAGGCTCAGAAAGCCAAGGTCATCCTCAGCTACACAGTGAGTTTGAGGTTAGCCTCAGATACACAAGACTCAGTCTCAAAAAATAAGAAAAAAAAAGAAAAAGCATGTAAACCAGGCATGATGTTACATGCCTATAATTCAAACACTTATGAGTTAAAGGAAAGGGGACCAGTAATTCAAGGCCAACCTTGGCTACATAGTAAGTCTGAAGCCACCCTGAACTTCATGAGACCTATCTCAAATCAACACACACAAAGTCCCGTGTAGCACACAACAGAGACCGGCCTGCAATACAAGTGACCCTGAACATGGACCTTACCCAAGCAAGCCAGTTAACTGTAAAACCAGCTGTACCTCAACAAGCCTAATGAGAGGCCCTGAGCTAGGACTGCCCAGGCAAGCTACTCAAGATTCCTAAGGAGGGAAATTCCTGATTTAAAGAAATTTTAGGCCAGGCATGGTAGCCTACCCCTTTAATCCCAGCACTTGAGAGGCAGAGGCAGGCAGATCTCTGTGAGTGTGAGGTTAGCCTGGTCTACATAGTGAGCTCCAAGCCAGGTGGGGCTATACAGGGAGAAACTGTCTCAAAAAGACAAAAAAAAATTTTTTTTTAGACAATAAGTGTTTGCTGCTTAAGCTGCTAAAAATAGAGGGCTGGTTGTTTCACGTCCTCGGATAACTAATACATGCTCTAAGTCACTTACCTGCACTGATTTAATTTTTACCACAACCACATGCAGTAGAGATTACTGTCCACTCTACAGGGGTGGGGTCCTTGGAAATGCATCTTGTTGAAGCCATCTACCAAACAGCAGCAATCCATTCAGGAACAGAACGGCACCTGTGTTAGTTACTCTTCTCATTGCTGTGACAAAACACCTGACAAAAGCCACTTAAGGAAGTGTTGTTTCTGGCTCACAGTTCCAGTGCACAGGCCTTCGTGGCGGGAAAGGCCTGGTGGCAGGCGCATGAAGCATCTGGTCACAGTGTGTCCCTAGTCAGGAAGCAGAGAGATGGATGCTGGTGCTCAGCTTGCTTTCTCCTTTTTTTTTTTTTTTTTTTTTTTTTTTTTTTTTTTTTTTGTCTTTTTGAGACAGGGTCTCCCTGTAGCCCCAGCTGTCCTGGAACTCACTATGTAGACCAGGCTGGCCTTGAACTCACAGAGATACAGAGATCCGCCTGCCTCTGCCTCCCGAGTGCTGGGATTAAAGGCGTGTGCCACCACGCCCGGCGCTTTCTCCTTTTTTATTGGTTTGGTACCCCAGTCCATGGGTGCTGCTGCCACATCCAGTTAAACTTTTCTGGAAACACCCTCATAGACATACCCAGAGGTGCATTTCCATGGAGATTCTAAATACAGTCAAAACGACAGCAAAGATTATTCCAACAGCCTTGTCCTCCCCGCCCTCCCGATGGGTTTCCATCATATGAGCACTGGGTGAAAAGAATTCTATACTTTCCCTTTCTTCTTTTGTTGGGGTGTGGGATTTTGTTTAATTTAAATTTTTTCTTTCCTCATCACCCTCCCCCTGGTGTTTTTGTTGTTGTTGTTGTTGTTGTTGTTGTTACATTTTATTTAGTGTGTATGGATATGTATGTGGGTGTGCATACCACACATGTAGAGATCAGAGGACTTGAAGAGTTGATTCTGTCTTTTTACCATATGGGTCCCAGGGATCAAACTCAGGTCACCAGCTTTGGCAGCAGTTACCTTTACCTGATGAGCATCTTACTAGTCCCAAAACTCTCAAACCTAGGAATACCTGAGGTTCCCACATGAGGGTAAAGGGACTGTTAAAATGAGATACTGATTACATAACAAGTGCCTCAGAAACAGAATGAACCCCCTCTGTGGGACTAGAGCTCCTGACACTGGCAGGGTGGGCTGACTCTGGATGGGAAGTGGGGAGCCCATGGAGTCAGGGTGTCAGCCCTCAGCAGCTGGCAGACTCAGTGCCCTCTGCTCTGTGGCCAATTACAACACCAGCCCCCAAGCCAAACTGGGTTCTTCAGAAACAAGCCATCAGCAGCAGCATTCACTGTAGATGCTTATTTTTAAAGCACAGGGAAATGCTGACTGGATAAAGATGCTGTCAGACTGCAGGCTTTGAAAAACATTTCATTCAATCTGGCATCCCAGATGGAATGTAAATCTGCTACAAAGTGAAGCTGATAGGCAAACAGGAGATTCTTCAGCCCAGGTATCAAGTCCATGAGCATCACAAGACCAATCCATCAGCCCTGAAATAAAAAACAGCATGCAACAGATGCACTTCAGTGAGGGGAAAGAAACAACAGGCTACCCTGTCTCGCTCCTTCGGTCTGCATAAATAAGGCTGGTTTGCTGGCTCTTCTGCAGAAGCCCCAAGCTTGGTCTCATTGCCGTCTTCTCAAAGCCTGTCACCTGCTTTTTCATTTCTCCATGAGATGCTATCATCACAGACCCAGTCTCTCAAGTTCTTTCAAATCATCAGGAAATAATTAGATGCAGAAAAACCTACTGAAAAAGAAGATGAAGTATCTTGAAATGTTTGTGTTATAATCTGGCACCGTGGTTCTGAGATTAAGCAATCACCAAAACACATGAGATGATCCCTTAACACTGCATTGAGCTTTAGACAAGTAGGTTAGGAAAAGGGGTAGTACCCAGAAGCCCTTGCTCGAAGGCACTGTGGTAAGGATGGTCCAACTCTGACCACCACAGAGATGTGTCCTTGTCCCCTCCTTTTGAATCACAGTGGACAAAAAGAAAGATGGAAGCAAAGCTATGCCCATTTCCAGAACAGCCTCAAGAGCTGACAGCTCCTACTGTCTAGGCACCCGGTGTCATGCTGTGAGGCTGCCCCTTGGAGAGAAAGGCCCATGGGAACAGGAATAAAGCACCTGGATGAGCCACCAGCCACCAGCCAGCACCACCTCAGTAGCTGTGAGTGAGCCATGTTGGAAGCAGGTTCTCAGACCCACTTGACTCTCCCTAGTTGACACCATGCGGAACAGAGCTGTTCTGCCATTACCAAGTGCAATTTCAGGTGCATGGGCAATTTGTTGTTGTTATTTGTTTTATTTTTAGAAAAGAAAGCTGCTCTTTAATGGGGAATGAGGAGGGATTTCTGGCTGGAAAGGGTTAAGGTGTCAGATCTGGCTCTCAGGCAGTAACCTCATTGCAGCTGTGAAAAGTGGCCACAGGATAGCCCCAGTGTCCAATGCATCTGGCAAACACCAGCAGATAAGCAGGCAGTGCCCATGGGACTTCCTGGCAGGGAAAGACAACTCCAGGTCCAGTGCTTCCATGGTCAGGGTCACCCAGACAGAAGCTGAGCACACCAGTCCCCAAACCACTGGACTAACAGTCATGTGTAGGAATGACTTGTATAAAATGGACAAAATCTGGACTAATGACTTTTAATTAATCTTGGCGAACTCACTGAACCATGTGCTCTTGTGACTGGGCACCTTACCTTGATTTCTGGGAACCCCAAATTACTATTCAACCCCAAGAGAGTGAATAAATGTGGGCATGCTTGAGAATTTACATATCAAAATGCTGAAAGACAGCACACATCTTCATTGAAAACAATGAAGATTGAGAACACTTGACCTTGTGTGTATGAGATGTTTTAGGCCTAGGGATGAAAGGGCAAGATTGTCTGATAAAATAAGGGTGGGTCTACTTTGTAGTTCCACAGAATTGAAGCTAGAAAAACAGTTTTGAACAAATTATGGTTGAGGCCTAGCTTCAGAGCACAGTTCCATAGCACAGTTCCAAGAGACATCTGGGGGAAGGTGTTCTCCAAGTTCGGGTCTACTCTTAAAAACCAAGCAGAGTTTTATTCAGGTATTAACTGTAACATGGCTTGGTAACACTGTAGTCATGGGCATTCCTGGAGGTGTCATACTACCTGCACTGCCCAGGTCTGCATCTGAAATTTTTTAAAATTTATTTTTATTATGTTTAATAATATGTATATATACATATATATGTGGTGCATGTCTGTATCTGGGTGTGGGTGTTTGCTCAAGTGTAAGTGCCTGTGGAGGCTACAGGCTTCAGATTCCCCCTGGAGATGGAGTTACAGGCAGTTGTAAGCTGCTGGATATGAGTGCTGGGGGCAGAGATCAGGTCCTCTGGAAGAGCAGTACCATGCTCTTAGCCACTGGTCTATCTCTCCAGTCCTGTCACAGAGATTCACCTGCTTCTGCCTTCTGAGTGGTAGAATTAAAGGTGTGTGCTACCACAGCATAGACAAGTTTTTAAGTGTTTCCTTTTTTGAGGTGGCTGTGGTGGTGCACACCCATACTCCCACCATTTGGGTGACTGGGGCATAAGGATCACAAGTTTGAGGTGCTACATAACAAAATTCTTCCTCAACAATATTTTAAAAATTGAATTAAGGGGACTGGAGAGATGGCTCAGCAGTTAAGAGCACCGACTGCTCTTGCAGAAGACCTGGGTTTGATTCCCAGCACCTACATGGTGGCTAACAACCATCTGTAACTCCAGGTCAAGGGGATCTGACACCTCTTCTGACCTCCATGGACATTGTGTGACATGAGTACACTTACACACATGCAGTCATATGCACATAAGAAA